TCAGAGCAACTCCCGTCCTATTAACCTTTAGGAAAAGAGTTAAAATCTGGCTCTGTGAGCAGGCCTTTGGAAACTAAGGCAATGCAGTATTTTTTAATCGAAACCTTGAGCAATTGACCTTGGTACGGACTCAGACCATGAACTTGAATGGCGTGTTTTCTAGGTTTTTAACATTTTAAATCTGTTTTAACTCTGTTTAATATGTTGCAATTTTTGAAATGTTTAGGTGATTGTGTTGAGGCACGACGTTGTGTCATTGTAAGCTGCCTTGAGTCCCCCGTCGGGGTAGAGAAGCGTGGGGTACAAGTATGGCAAATAATAATCATGTCCATAGAAAAAAGAGCAAAGAGGGGGTGACACTGGTCTCTGAAGATTCTCCCATCCTTCCACTGTTTTTATTAACTTCTGCAATACTAATAGCGCATCCACAATCTGAAAAGAGCAAGCAGCTTTAGATAAAGCAGGACGAACTGGGTAAGATGCTAAGAAAGAGAGAGACAGGTCCTCTAAGGAAAACCACCACCTCCCTTCTATCAAGAAATTAAGATGTTGTCAGCTTTCATGGGTCCTTCTTCAACCCCTCACTCCTTTGCAAGGATTTGTTTTTGCCTCCCTATTTCCACCACCACCACTATGGCAATCTTCACACCTCACTCTGCTTGATGTCTCCCTCGGCACATGGAGGAACTTTATTTGATATAGGAAAGCAATCTGGAACCCTCTTTACCACTCCCAACCACAACTTTTCCCGCATCTCTTTCCCTTTTATTGTTTCTCTCAACATCAAAGCCTGTAGGTGTCTCTCCCTTCAATAAGAGCCAAGTGGACTCCCTCTGCTTCACCCCCACAACTCTGCTGTCAGATCACCTTCAACTTGTGGTTTATGAATGAAAGATCTCCAGTCCCCCTTTCCTCAATGACTTGCTTGACTGAGCCCACCTACTTGCAATATAGCCCTTCCTCTTTTCCTGCGGCCTTACCAAACAGGACATTTTTTCCAATCAGTCCTGTCTTCTCATGATATATACAAAGTACGACAATCTCAGTTTAGTCAACTTCAACTGAGGGTTCAGGCTCGATTTGCTCAGACCCATTTATCTTTTTTTTTTTGGGAATATCCATGGAATTTGCAGGACTGTCATCCAATACTCTGTCCAGCTTTCACAAATGTACATAGAGATGGGAAACACAATGGCTCAGACCACCCTAACCTTAGTATTCAATGACATATATTTCCACTACAAGATGTTCCCTACTTCCCTCATAGCTACTTTCTCAAGTTCTACTTTTTGGGGGGGGGGGGCGGGGCGGGGGGGGCGGCGTTTTTTGATGAAGTCTCTATTCTAGACTGAAGAAGAAACAGAATGCTTTAGAGAAGATTCACTCGAACGGGTATTTAACTCTGGTCAGGAAGATCATACTTTACAAAAGGGTTATGATTATGCCAAATAGTGTGAATGCCAATTGATTTCCAAAAGAGTCACGTTTCCAAAAGGTTTTGAAGACCACACCTCTGCAGGGGGTTGGACTGGATGGCCCACAAGGTCTCTTCCAACTCAATGATTCTATGATGTAGGGCCTGTCTGGAAGGGCCCTTACTAGGCCACAAGCTGAGCACAAGCCAACAGTCTCATGCTGCAGCAAAAAAGGCCAATGCAATTCCAGGGCCCTTCCACACAGTCCTATATCCCAGAATTATCAAGGCAGAAAACCCCACAATGTCTGCTTTGAACTGGGTTATCTGAGTCCACACTCAGATAATGTGGGATTTCCTGCTTTGACATTCTGGGTATAGGGCTGCGTGGAAGGGCCCCAAGTTGCATCCATAGGAGTCTAGTCTCTGTATAGAAGGAAGTTTATATCCCAGAATCTGATCCCAGGATTTCTGCTTTAAACTGGATTATATAAATACGCACTGCAAGATAATCTGGGATAAACAGAAAAACTGGGATCAAATGGCCATCCAGCCTCTGCTTAAAAGCCTCCAAAAAGAAGCCTCCACCACACTCTGAGACAGTGAGTTTGACTGCTGAACAGCTCTCACAGTCAGGAAGTTCTTCCTAATGTTCAGGTGGAATCTCCTTTCCTATAGTCTGAAGTCATTGTTCCGCGTCCTAGTCTCCAGGACAGCAGAAAACAAGCTTGCTCCCTCCTCCCTATGACTTCCCCTCACATATTTATACATGGCCTTCATCATGTCTCCTTTCAGCTTCCTCTTCTGAAAACTAAACATGCCCAGCTCTTTAAGCCACTCCTCATAGGGTTTGTTTTTCAGACTCTTGATCATTTTGGTCGCTCTCCCTGGACACATTCCAGCTTGTCCACATCTCCCTTCAACTGTGGTGCCAAGAATTGGATACAGTCTTCCACATGTGGTCTGACCAAGGCAGAATAGAGGGGTTGCATGACTTCCCTGGATCTAGATACTGGACTACTATTTATGTAGGCCAAAATCCCACTGGTGTTTTTTTGCCACTGCATGACATTGTTGGCCACGAGACTCCAAGATCTTTTTCACACGTACTGCTCTGGAGTCAGGCATTCCCCATTCTGTACCTTTGCATTTCATTTTTTCCTGCCTAAGTAGAGTATCTTGCATTTGTCACCGTTGAACTTCATTTTGTTAGTTTTGGCCCATCCCTCTAATCTGTTCAGATTGTTTTGAATTCTGCTCCCAGGATCTGATCCTAGGTTTTCTGCTTTAAAATGGATTATATAAATCTGCACTTCCAGATAATCTAGGGGCCCTTCCACAGCCATATAACCTAGAATACCAAGGCAGAAAATCCCACAGTATCTGCTTTGAATTGGGTTATCTGAGTCCACACTGTCATATATCCCAGTTCAAAGCAAAAAAAAATGGGATTTTATTTAGCTGTGTGGAAGGGGTCTCATATATTCTAGTTTAAAGCAGATAATTTGGGATCAGATCCCGAGACAAAGGGCAGTGTGGAAGGGCCCTGAGACTTCAATGCAGAGGCTAGATGCCCGTACCTTGGGAAGTCTGATCTGGCCACGGTGGTCCACGCTCTGGTTACATCTCAAATAGATTACTGCAACACGGTCTACGTGGGGCTGCCTTTGAAGATGGTTCGGAAACTTCAGCTAGTTCAACGGGCGGCAGCCAGATTACTAACTGGGGCGGCATACAGGGAGCATACCACCCCCCTGCTACGCCAGCTCCACTGGCTGCCAGTCCATTTCCAAGCCTAATTCAAAGTGCTGGTTTTGACCCATAAAGCTCTATATGGTTCTGGCCCAGCTTACTTGTCCGAACGCATCCACTCCTATGTTCCACCTTGTAATTTAAGATCATCCGGGGAGGCCCTGCTCTTGCTCCCGTCAACATCACAGATGCGCCTGGCGGGGACGAGAGACAGGGCCTTCTCGGCTGTGGTCCCCCGCTTATGGAACACACTCCCAAATAAGGTAAGATCCGCTCCCTCCCTCCTGGCTTTTAGAAAAAAAATAAAATCATGGTTTTGGGACCAGGCCTTCGGGCAGTAGAAGTAAATGTATGCAGCATTTCAGAAAGACAATGACTGGAACGGCGATTCGACGGACGAGACTGTTTTAATCATAGTTTTATTGCTTGTGGATGTACTGTTTTTAAATTGATTTATGTCTAATTGTAGTGTATAACTGTAATTGTTTGTACTGGCATTGAATTTTGGTTCATGCCTTGGTCACATCCAGATTGGACTACTGCAATGCGCTCTACGTGGGGCTGCCTTTGAAAACGGCTCGGAAGTTCCAACTGGTCCAACGAGCAGCAGCCAGGATGTTAACTGGGGCTCCTTACAGAGAGAGGTCAACCCTCCTGTTCAAGGAGCTCCACTGGCTGCCGTTTATTTCCGAGCCCAATTTAAGGTGCAGGTGCTTACCTACAAAGCCCTGAACGGTTTGGGACCATCCTACCTGCGTGACCGCATCTCCATCTACGAACCCACGCGTTCACTTCGGTCATCTGGAGAGGCCCTGCTCGTGATCCCGCCTGCGTCGCAAGCGCGTTTGGTGGGGACACAAGACAGGGCCTTTTCTGTGGTGGCCCCCCAACTCTGGAACACCCTCCCCAAAGATCTTAGACAGGCCCCTACATTGGCAGTCTTTAGAAAGAACTTGAAGACCTGGCTGTTCCGATGTGCCTTCCCAGATTAGGAAATCTCCAATACCAAGTCCCATAAGCACTTTACTATGAACTAAGATTGCTGCACACCACACACTGCACTTGCCCTATAATGCCTTATATACCACCTGTCACATCAGCACTTTTAATCCTGTACCCATTACTCTGGCCCGGCCCAGTTTTATTGTGTCTTAGGTGTATTGTTTATTGCTTGTTGTTTATATTGCTTTAATTGTTTTTAATTTGCCTAGGTTTTGTATTGTTATATTGTGTGTTGAGGCCTTGGCCTTTGTAAGCCGCATCGAGTCCTTCGGGAGATGCTAGCGGGGTACAAATAAAGTTTAATAATAATAATAATAACCGCTTTGTGTCCCCCTCCGGGTGAGAAAAGCGGTATACAAATACTACAAATAAATAAATATATCCCAGTTCAAAGCAAAAAATATGGGGTTTTATTTAGCTGTGTGGAAGGGGCCTCATATATTCTAGTTTAAAGCAGATAATCTGGGATCAGATCCCGAGACAAAGGGCAGTGTGGAAGGGCCCTGAGACTTCCTTCAATGCAGAGCCTATGGATGCAGCTTGGAATCGTATTGGCCCTTTTCGCTGCAGCATGACAGTGTTGGCTAAGTGGCCTACTAAGGGCCCTTCCAGACATGCCCTATATCCCAGGATCTGATCTCTGGTGCCCTTTCCTCCATTTGCATTCCCCCCCCCCCCCCCGAGGATGCAGCCCTTGGCCACGCGCTGCCCACGTTACCCCTCCTGCCCACCGTGACCTCCCCCCCCCCCCCCCCCCCCCCCCCCCGCCCGCCTTTCTCTCCCCTTTTTCGGGACTCTTTTCCCCCTCGGTGTTCCCTTCCTCAGGTCTCACCCGATCTCGTCGGCGCCCCCGACGCTGTTCATGTTGGCGGCCCCGGCCTGGGGCCCCTCCTCCGCTCGCGGGAGACAAAACGGTTTCCCTCAGGCGACGCTTCTTCCTGCCGCCTCGCTCCTTTTTTTTTTTACCTCACAGAAGAGAGCGCCGGCGACGAGGCGGAGGGGGGAGGCCGCGGCGCGCAGGCGCAAGCGCATGCGCAACACTTCCCCAGCGCTACCTTTCCCTCCTCAGGCACCAACCGCCGCTGTGGGAGTGCGCCTGCGCGTGCGCGAGGCGGTTCGCCCCTCCTCCTCGTCTACCCCGCCCCCTTCTTGTTCTCTCCTCTCATTGGCTAACCGCCACCTACGGGGTTTTCCGCGCTATAAAGAATGGGCCGGCGAGGAAAGACGGTATCGTGTGTGAAGGGTACGACTGCGCATGCTCAGAGGAAGACTGAGGCAAGGAGCGCTTCAAGGAGAGGATGCAGGCAACGCACCCGGAAGTGCGTCATCACTAGCTTGGTGGGCGCTCACGGGAAGTGTAGTTTTTGGAAAGTCAGAGTGAGTGGCTCATGCTCACTCCTGCAGGGTTCTTGAAACGCTTTTTGAGCGAGGGAGGATGGGTTATACTACAAAATGGGGCCTAAGCTATGTCAGTCCTTGCTAAATATAATGACACTAGCGGTCCCCTGTCATGCGTTGCTGTGGCCCAGTCTGGTGATCTGGAAAATAAAGTAATGAGAAAGTGTTGGTTTCTAATATATGTAATTTCTTTCTCCTTGTGGGTAAACAGTATTTCTTATTGTTTCTTTGCCAGTGTTGATGTGAAGATCGTCTGGTTTGCCTACTCTGGAACATGCAACATATCATTGTCCTTCTTTAGGGGCCCCTTTCAAATCTATGATATCGCAAGCGTGATTGGCGGGGACAAGGGACAGGGCCTTCTCGTGGTGGCCCCTCGACTCTGGAACTCACTCCCCAAGGACATCAGACATGCTGCAACGTTGGCAGCCTTTAGGAGGAGCCTGAAAACGTGGTTGTTCCAGTGTGCCTTCCCAGAATAGGAAACTCCCAGCATCATGTCCCAAAATGCACTTATTAGTGATCTAGGATTGTCTACATGCTCTATCCCTCTCCAAAATTTCTATCCTGTTTATATGTCACCTGGTCACGCCCAGCATTATTTTTTTAAAATTTTAATTAGTACATTTGGCCTGCCATAGGTTTTAAACGTCGTTGTGTTATTGTTAATGTTTATTGCTATTTTCTGTTTATAAACTTTATTTATTGTTGTACTATTGTCGCTATTGTTTTATTGTTGTATTGTGGGCTGATCTGGAAAATGAAATAATGAGAAAGTGTTGCTTTCTAATATATGTAATATCTTTCTCCTTGTGGGTAAACAGTATTTCTTACTGTTTATTTGCCAGTGTTGATGTGAAGATTGTCTGATTTGCCAGCTCTGGAACATGCAACATATCATTGTCCTTCTTTAGGGGTCCCTTTCAAATCTAGGATACTGCATCTGTCATATACATATATATGTGTGTGTGAATGGCTGAATGGCCCTTTGTCAGGAGGGCTTTGATTATGTTTTCTTGCCCTGGTGAAGGGAGTTGGACTGGATCGCCTTAAGGCAGCATTTCTCAACCTGGGAAGTCAAGACCCCGGGGGGGGGGGTCACCAGGGAGGTGTCAGAAGGCTCACCAAAGACCACCAGAAAACACAGTATTTTCTGTTGGTCATGGGGGTTCTGTGTGGGAAGTTTGCCCCAGTTCTGTAGTTGGTGGGTTCAGCATGCTCTTTGATTGTAGGTGAACTATAAATCCCAGCAACTGCATCTCCCAAACGTCAAGGTCTATTTTCCCCAAACTGCATCTGTGTTCCTATTTGGGCATATGAAGTGTGCCAAGTTTGGTCCAGATCAATCATTGTTTGAGACCACAGTGCTCTCTGGATGTAGGTGAACTACAACTCCAAAACACAAGGTCAATGTCCACCAAACCCTTCTAGTGTTTTCTGTTGGTCAGGGGAGTCCTGTGTGCCAAGTTTGGTTCAATTCCATCATTGGTGGAGTTCAGAATGCTCTTTGATTATAGGTGAACTATAAATCCCAGCTACTACAACCCCCAAATGACAAAATCATAATTTTTTGAGTGATGGTCACTCCTTGTGTTGTGAGACCTTTTGGTGTCAAATTTGGTGTAATTTCCCTAATTTAAGGTACTCATTACGAACAGAGCATTTATATATATATAGATTGTAATGTAACAATATTAATCTAGCTATATATATATAAATGCTCTGTGCATAATGAGTACCTTAAAAACTTGCTCCATCAATGTGTAATATTTACACAAATGATCAGATACTGCCAGAAGGGATAGAGTGTTTCATCTATGCTGACGATCATGCCATCACTGCCCAAGCAGGGAGCTCTGAAATGGTTGAACAGAAGCTCTCTGAAGCTTTAGGAGCTCTTACTGCCTATTACAGGGAAAACCAGCGGACTTCTAATCTATCTAAAACACAGACGTGTGCTTTTCACCTTAAGAACAGACAAGCACCTCAAGCCCTGAGGATGACCTGGGAAGGAATCCCACTGGAGCATTGCAGTGCACCCAAATGCCTGGGAGTCACTCTGGACCGTGCTCTGACTTACAAGAAGCACTGCTTGGCTATCAAGCAGAAAGTGGATGCAAGAAATAATATCGTACGAACACTGACTGGCACAACCTGGGGATCAAAACCAGACTCAGTGAAGACATCTGTCCTTGCACTTTGCTACTCTGCTGCTGAATATGCATGCCTAGTGTGGAATACAACTCACCACGTTAAAACAGTGGATGCGGCTCTTAATGAGACATGCCGCATTATCACAGGATGTCTACGCCCTACACCATTGGAGAAATTATACTGTTTAGGTACTGAACCAACTGAATCCACCGGGAAGTAGCAGCTAACAATGAAATGACAACAGCAGTGACATCTCCGGCCCATCCTCTGCTCGGATATCAGCCAGCACGCCTACACCTTCAATCAAGAAATAGTTTTCTAAGATCTACAGAGATACTCACAGGAACACCTCAGCAAGCGAGAGTCCAAAAGTGGCACGCTAAAACCCAGAACGTGGCACACAGACCCACCATGACCAACTTTACATACTGTTGTTTTTTTGGGGGGTTGACCCTGGAGGATGGGAGTTGTAGTTCCTGTGTGTATCCTATTGCCAGGAAGCCATGTGTATTCCTAATGGGACCATTTTTAAAATCCAACACAAAGCACATACTATTTTTCATTTTGCATCCCTGCAAAACCCCGGGGATCGCTGGATACCTACGATAATAAATAAATAAAGGTTTTCTTTTTTTTTAGATGGTGGTACTGAAATTAGTGTTGGTTGGTTTTCTAGTCACCTTTTCGGCCTCTCATGGAAGGGCGTCCTAAAACGAAGGAGCAGTCACCAAGAAAACTTTGTTTCTCAAGATGAAGCCTTCAGCTTGCCAATCTTAAAGCTCTGGTAGGTTTACACAGGGAATTGTGGTCTTTCATTTCATCTGAATCAGAACCATATTAGTTTAGCTTGAAGGAAACTAGTTTTAGCAAGGACTTTACTATGTTCCCTATTATTAGCATTAAAATTATTATTATTATTATTATTATTATTAAACCATTGAAGGTGACCTCACAGCCAGACTTCTATTGCCTTGTGACACTGAAAGTCAATGTTTCTCTTGCCGTTCTTCACTATCCTCCTAATGCTGCCAAAAGATATCTAGCTTGTTTATTTATTTATTTATTGTGTCAGAAATGAATTGAGACTACAGTTTTAATGTATAAAAACAGTTAAAAACTTGGCATTATACTAAATGTCCTTTGACCAGAGAAGCTGGCCACTTGGACTGCCTCTGGTGTTTCTGTGAGAAGGTCCTCCATTGTGCATGTGGCAGGGCTCAGGCTGCTTGCAGTAGGTGGACTGTGGTTTGCTCTTCTCCACACTCACATGTCATGGACTCCACTTTGTAGCCCCATTTCTTAAGGTTGGCTCTGCATCTCATGGTGCCAGAGCGCAGTCTGTTCAGTGCCTTCCAAGTCGCCCAGCCTTCTGTGTGCCCAGGAGGGAGTTTCTCATTGAGGTTTATTTTTTTTATTTACTTCATTTCTACCCCGCCTTTCTCTACCCCAGAGGGGACTCAATTTAATGCCACACAGGTAAACAATAAACACATCTCATCAAAATATAGACAATCTACACCTAGAAGCAATTAAAGCACATATCAATCAATTAAACAGATTAAAATCATATAAGATGCCGAGTCATAATCTCACATCTAAATTGTTTTCCATAATCCATAGTCCATTATTCAAGTAGTTATAAGTCTCATTCTGTAGTTTCCTATTCACCAAACGTCTGCAAGAATAGCCAGGTCTTAAGTTTTTTTTTCTAAAAACCAGGAGGGATGGGGCCTGTCTGATGTCACTGGGGAGGGAGTTTCACAGCCGAGGGGCCACCACTGAGAAGGCCCTGTCTATCGTCCCAACCAATCGCACTTGTGAAGAGGTTGGGACAGAGAGCAGGGCCTTCCCAGCCAATCTTAAAGCTCTTGTAGGCTCATAGAGGGAGATGCGTTCGGACAGGTAAGTTGGACCAGAACCATATAGAGCTTTTTAGGCCAAAACTAGAACTTTGAATTGGGCTTGGTAGCAGATTGGCAACCAGTGCAGCTGACGTAACAAAGTAGTATGCTCCTTGTATGCTGCCCCAGTTAGAAATCTGGCTGCCACCTGTTGGAATAATTGAAGCTTCTGGGCCATCTTCAAAGGCAACCCAAGGTGTGGGCGCAGCTGGCACACAAGTTGTAATTGTGCAAAAGCTCCCCTGGCCACTGCTGAAACCTGAGGTTCCAAACTCAGCAATGAGTCTAGGAGAACTCCAAGCTGCGAACCTGTGTTTGTAGAGGCCAACACAGGCTGTAACCCTATACCCTTTTTGGTCTTATGACCGACCAGGAGGACCTCTGTCTTGTCTGGATTCAGTTTTAGCTTGTTCACCCTCATCCAGACCATCATAGCAGCCAAGCACGGGTTCAGGACCTGAACAGCTTCTGGGTTTTAGCCTGCCACTTTTGGACTCTCGTGTGCTGCGCTGTTCCTGCTCATATCTCTCTAGGTCTTAGAAAGCTATTCCTTGATTTAAGGCATGGGCGTGCTGACTGATATCTGAACAGAGGATATGCCACTGCCTTGGTACTTTCATTACATGCTGCTACTTCCTGACAGATGTCAGATGGTGCAATACCAGCAGTATAATTTCTCTAGCGATGTTGGTCATAGGCATCCTGTGATAATGTGGCATATCTCATTAAGAGCCACATCCACTGTTTTAACGTGGTGAGATGTGTTCCACACTGGGCTTGTATATTTATCAGTAGAGTAGCAAAGCACAAGGGCAGATGTCTTCGCTGTGTCTGCTTGTGATCTCCAGGTTGTGCCAGTCAGCTTTCATATGATGTTATTTCTAGCACCCACATTTTGTTTGTTGTTCAAGAAGTGCTTCTTGTAAGTCAGAGCACGGTCCAGAGTGACTCTCAGGCATTTTGGTGTGCTGCAATGCTCCAGTGGGATTCCTTCCCAGGTCATCCTCAGAGCTTGAGATGTTTGTCTGTTCTTAAGGTGAAAAGCACATGTCTCCATTTTAGATGGTTTAGGAATCAGCTGGTGTTCCCTGTAATAGGCAGTAAGAGCCCCTAAAGGTTCAGAGCGCTTCTGTTCCACCATTTCAAAGCTCTCTACTTGGGCGGTGAGGACACGATAATCAGCATAGATGAAATGCTCTGTTCCTTCAGGCAGTGGCTGATCATTTGTCTATATCAGAGGTCCGCAAACTTTTTAAACAGAGGGCCAGGTCACAGTCCCTCAAACTGTTGGAGGGCCAGATTATAATTTGAAGAAAACGTGAATGAATTCCTATGCACACTGCACATATTTTATTTGTAGTGGAAAAAACACTTAAAAACAATACAATAATTAAAATGAAGAACAATTTTAACAAATATAAAATTATTAGTATTTCAATGGGAAGTGTGGGCCTGCTTTCAGCTGATGAGATAGAATTGTTGTTGTTATGTGCTTTCAAGTCATTTCAGACTTAGGTTGACCCTGAGCGAGGGCCGGGTAAAATACCTTGGAGGGCCGTATCCGGCCCCCAGGCCTTAGTTTGAGGACCCCTGGTCTACATGTTGAACACTGTTGAACACTGATGGAAAAAAGCATTCTCCCCTGAGGCAGGGGGTTCTTCAGTCTTTGCCATCTGCATTTCTGGCCCTGGAACTCAACAAAAAAGCTCCTGTTTTGTAGCAGATTTCCTATGAAGGTGAGGTGGTAGTCCTTTGTGATATTACACATTTTTCTCAGGAGGAGGCGATGGTTTACAGTATCATAAGCTGCTGAGAGGGCTATGAAGACAGCGCCTGTAATCTGAAATTATTATTATTATTAAACTATTGAACTTATTATTATTAATAATATTATGAAACGATTAAAGGTATCCCCACAGCCAAGCTTCCATTGCCTTGAGACATTGAAAATTGGCGTTTCTCCGGCCATTCTTCACCATCCTTCTAATGCTGAGGAATTCTAGCTGAGGAAAAGGGGGTGGTAAGGATAAGGAATTTATAGCATGGTGTCTTGTTGGCAGCTTTGTTAAAGCATAATTAATCTCACAACGTAATTAACCTCACAACCTCTGAGGATACCGGCCATAGATGCAGGCGAAACATCAGGAGAGAATGCTTCTGGAACATGGCCATACAGCCTGGAAAACTCACAACAACCCGTAATTAATCTGTTCCTCCAGCAGGTGTCTCCAGCGCCAGATCCAAACTTGGCGAGCCCCTTTCTCATGTGCAGACTCAGCTGTTTCTGCACACACAACACCCCCTTGGTATGCCCCTTGTGTCTATTTAAATCCCACTTAGAGGCCGAGAGCTTCTTCTTTTCTGGCAGTCCTCCTACTCTAACGGCTTTCCCTTCTCTCTGTCCAACTCTTTCCTTCAAACTCTAGGCATGGCTTCCACCGCTGGACTTGCCACTCCGATCTTTCGGGAAGGAGAGGATTGCAAGGCTTCATGGAAAGCTGCCGGTGCTGGCTATGATTCAACGGACACCCACTTGGAGATCCTGGGGAAGCCGGTCATGGAGCGCTGGGAGACCCCTTACATGCACTCCCTGGCCACCGTGGCTGCTTCAAAAGGTACGGTCGGCCCTGTCGGCTCCCTGTTTGCACCTGTTATGGTCTTTGAGAGCCATGGCAAACAAATCCTGTGACAGAAAGCCCTAACCCTTCTTGTATAAACCTCCAAGATCGATTCTTTTGACGCACAAGAAACGGAGCCTGCTCAGGCCCCATCTACACTTTCATATAATTCAGTTAAGTTCAACATACACATAAGACAACATTGGTGTAAATTGCATTGATCTATTGCAGAGGTCCTCAAACTTTTTAAACAGAGGGCCAGGTCACAGTCCCTCAAGCGGTTGGAGGGCCAGATTATAATTTGAAAAAAAACATGAATGAATTCCTATGCACACTGCACGTATCTCATTTGAAGTGCAAAAACACTTAAAAACAATAAATAATTAAAATGAAGATCAATTTTTTAAAATATAAAATTATTAGTATTTCAATGGGAAGTGTGGGCCTGCTTTTGGCTGATGAGATAGGATTGTTGTTCTTGTTGTGTGCTTTCAAGTCATTTCAGAGTTAGGTTGACCCTGAGCGAGGGCCGGGTAAATGACCTTGGAGGGCCACATCTGGCCCCCGGGCCTTAGTTTGAGGACCTGATCTATTGGGTCTCCCTATGCTGGCAACATAACTTCCAAGTGTCCCAGTTTGGCAAAATCAATTCCAATTGATTTTCTGCAGTCCCACTTTATTGGCTACTTTTTAAATGTCCTGGTTTCTCTTCCTTTCCCTTCAGTTCTACCCCCCCCCCCCACTTTGTCCTCAGCAACACAATGGAAAATACTGTGGTTGTTCCTTCCTGGATTCATTTTGGTACTAGACCCAGGAAGTAACAACATTGTTGTTGACGACCTTGATTATTTTGTTGGTCAAATGGTTCCCATCCAGAGAGCTAGGAATGTGGGACAATATTTGAGGATCTTGCGACATTAAGAAGAGTGAAGAGTTAAGAGACAGTGGCATCTGTCCCTTTGTCAACACTTGTGGTTCCCCTTCAAGGTTCAGGCATTCCTTCTGACAGCTATGTGTCAAAGTCCTCAACTGGAGTTATTTTGTTTTTCTAAGATGGGTTTTTAAAAGTGGTTTTGAATCTGACTTTTCCAGGCAGAAAGATCTCATTTAATACAGAAGGAAAGGAATGAAACAAGACAAATACAACTTCCTAAATATGAGAGCTGTTCAGCAGTGGAACTCTCAGCCCCGGAGTGTGGTGGAGGTTCCTTCTTTGGAGGCTTTTAAACAGAGGCTGGACGGCCATCTGTTGAGGGTGCTCTGAATGCGATTTCCCTGCTTCTTGGCAGAATGGGGTTGGACAGGGTGGCCCACGAGGTTTCTTCCAACTCTGACTTCTAGTCCCACCATACAATAGAATTGTATTCTGATGTAACTCTGTGATAAATTACAGAGTTGCATCTGATACTGTGGAATTGGATAGCAATCAGTCTGGAGGACTTACCAAATGCTGATTTTTAAGTAGTTGGTGGATGGCTGTCTGTTGAGAGGGCTCAAATTGTGTCTCCCTGCCTGTTGGAAAGGGGTTGGACTGGAGGGACGTTTCTATGCCAGGAATATGTTCAGCAGAAGAGTAGCAAAGCACAAGGGCAGATGTCTTCACTGTGTCTAGTTGTGATCCCCAGGTTGTGCCAGTCAGCTTTCATACAATATTATTTCTAGCATCCACTTTTTGCTTGGTATTCAAGCAGTGCTTCTTATAAGTCAGAGCACGGTCCAGAGTAACTCCCAGGCATTTTGGTGTGCTGCGTTGCTCCTGTGGGATTCCTTCCCAGGTAATCCTCAGAACTCAAGATGCTTGTCTGTTCTTAAGTTGAAAAGCACACATCTGTATTTTAGATGGATTAGGAGTCAGCTGTTTTCCCCTGTAATAGGTAGTAAGAGCACCTAAAGCTTTGGAGAGCTTCTTTTCAATCATTTCAAAGCTCTCTGCTTGAGCGGTGATGGCATGATCGTAAGCATAGATTAAATGCTCTGTCCCTTCTGGCAGTGGCTCATCATTTGTGTAAATGCTAAACCTTGATGGAGCAAGCACATATTCTGCTGTTGAATACACATGCCCAGTATGAAATACATCTCACCATGTATAAACAGTGGATGTGGCTGTTAATGAGATATGCCACATTATCACAAGATGTCTATGCCCAATATTGCTGAAGAAATTATACCATTTAGTTGGTAGCGCAGCACCTGATATCCATTGGGAAGTAGCAGCCAATAATGAAAGGACCAACACATTGACATCTCTGGCTATCTCTGGATATCAGCCAGCAAGCCAACACCTTGAATCAAGAAATCTCCTTGTAATATCCACAGAGATATTCGCAGGAACACTAAGCAAGCAAGAGTCCAAAAATGGCAGGCTAAAACCTCAACCAGTGGCTGAGACTGGATCAGAGACTCCCTCCTGGGCACACACAAGACTGGGCGACTTGGAAGGCACTGAACAGACTGCGCTCCATGAGATGCAGAGCCAACCTTAGGAAATGGGACGACAAAGTGGAGTCCGCGACATGCGAGTGTGGAGAAGAGCAAACCAAGACCACTTACTACACTGCAGTCTGAGCCTCACCACATGCACAATGGAGGACCTTCTTACAGCCACAGCAGAGGCCCTCCAAGTGGCCAGCTTCTGGCCAAAGGAAATTTAGTATAATGCCAAGTTTTTGACTTTGTTTGTGGTTTTTCTATACATTATAACTATTCTCAGTTAACTTCTGACACAATAAATACATAAATAAGGGATATGTTTCCCCAGGTGGCCGGGTCTTGGAGGTGGGCTTTGGCATGGCTATTGCTGCCACCAAAATTGAGTCGTTCGACATCGAGGAGCACTGGATCATTGAGTGCAATGAAGGGGTGTTTCAGCGGCTCCAGGAATGGGCCAAAACGCAGCCTCACAAGGTATGAGCTCCATAGACTTCAACACCACCCCTATTTTCCTCCCTCTGTGTTGTTCCGCATTGCATCTTTGGTAAACAACGCAGTCGGGTTTGGGTAATAATGGTACAGCAAAACCCATTCGGCCAAGATATCCCTCTGCCAGGTTTTCAAAGCAGCCCAAATACATGATAACTGAGCTCAAACTCACCCAGTTAGAGTCCTGCCTGAATAGCCAGTTGAACCCATTGATTTATAGATCCACAGCCCTGTAAAATGAACATATTCTTCCACACCTGTTTTGGTCTTTTCGGAGGGGTCGGCACCCCAAAACCATGAATTGTGGGGGACATCTTGTTCAGTTTATACACAAAGAAGAACTGTTTGACCTTCAAATTGGGGTTCTTCCTCATAATGAAAAGAATCTAGCAAAATATACTATGAATTGATGAGTCCACAATAATTGTAATTAATTTTAAATGTTTTAATGCTTAATATTTATTTATATCTTATTTCTGGGCATTATTATGCTTTGTGTGATTTTTGTCTTGTGTTTTATTTTAATACTTGCTTGGGTCCCTGGCATTGCCAGAGTTATTTGAAAAAGTCAGATTTTAATTGTACAGAGTATATGCGATTGTGGGTGAACTACAACTCCCATCATGCCAGGTTAACCCTGAAAAACTCCACCAGTGCTTAAAGTTTGTTACGTTGGGCAAGTTTCTTCTGGATGCATCATGGTGGGGTTCAGTGTGCTCTCTGGCTATAGGGTGAACTATAACTCCCACTGGTGAGTCAGTCCCCTCAAAAGCCTCCAGTAAGTTGGGTTAGTCATGGGGGTTCTGTGTGCCAAGTTTGGTCCAGGTCCATCAGCGGCGTAGGTCACAGTTACTCTGGTTGTGAGTGAACTACAACTCTCAGAAAGGAAGGTCTGTTCCCCGCAAACCCCTCCAGTAGTCAAATTTTGGCATATCAGATACATGTGCCAGATTTGGTCCAGATTCATTGGCGTTTGGGTTCACAGTGCTCTCTGGATGTAGATGAACTACAACTCCCCCAAATCAAGGTGAATTTTCCCCCAAAGACCTCCAGTACTTTTTGCTGGTGCCTTCATGTGATATTACATAACGGCAGCCACAGAGATGCTAAACGGCATTCCTCTGATGGTGGAGATCCACCCAGGGACACTCTTTACAACAAGAACCATCCCCTTTCTAATGATTGCTGCATCCGGTTTGAGGTCCAGATTGCGGTGCCAATGGGATGTCGTCAACAAGCCTTCAGTCAGTGCCTTGGGGTCGTTTTTAACAGAAGTATTTGGGAAGCAAAGTGTGGCGCAGTTCATGTTGGGCAACCCACTTGGGTTAATTTGCAACCCGCTCCTCTGAGTTCCCGAGTAAGGGTCAGTGCCTGGTCACTCATTGATTCTCCCTTTGCTTGTCTAAGGTCGTCCCTCTGAAAGGATTGTGGGAAGACGTTGTCCCGACGTTGCCCTCTGAACATTTTGACGGTAAGAAGACCACTGGGTTTATATATTTATTTATTGATTTACAACATTTATATGCCGCCCTTCTCACCCCGAAGGGGACTCAGAGCAGCTTTCAAGGTATATATTACATACAATATATTATATTATTAGCATAGTACAATATCAGCATTAAACATTGCTATATTGCACCATACCATATCGTAATATTATTAGTAATATTACATGTAATATAAATATATAATTATAATATCTTATATTACATTACATTATAATATTACAAATATTATATATGTGCAATATATTATATTATATTATATTATATTATTAGAATGGCGCAGGAGACAAGGTGGAACTGTCCCCTGGCCCCCTCTCTCTTCACTCTGGCCCAGAGCAACAGTTGGTGCTCGGGAGAGGGGTCTCCAGCTGATGGCATATCCAGGAGACAAGATGGAACGGTCCCTTGGCCTCCCCTCTCTTCACTCTGGCCCAGAGCGACAGTTGGTTTGCATGTTGTATGCGGCGGCCGTAATGGAGGGGCCTTTGATGTGGCAGCAAAGCCCCACCACGTTATGGTTTCTCATAATTGAATCCCTGGTTAGCTGCGCAAACCCACCAACTACCCATAGTCCAGGTTTCCTTTTTTTCGAAGCTATTCTGCTGGAGTCGCCACTCCTGAATGAGCAAGTTATGATGCACAGAGCTTTACAGGGGTGTCAAACATTATGATCCTCCATCTCAATTCATTTTGAGTAGCCAGATATTCCTAAAAGTTGGATCCGTCTCAATCTGGTTTCAGGCCTGGGTATGGGACAGAGACGGCATTGATCGCCTTGGTGGATGATCTACGAAGAGAGGTAGATGGGGGGAGTGTGTCCCTTCTAGACCTCCTGGACCTCTCAGTGGCTTTTGATACCATCAATCATGGTATCCTTCTTGGCTGTCTCTCCAGGATATGGCAGAGAGGCACTGATTTACAGTGCCTCCGCTCCTACCTGGAGAGTCGGACCCAGATGGTGTTGCTGGGGGACTCCTGTTCAACTCCCTGGTGGGTGAACTGTGATGTCCCTCAGGGTTCCACTCTGCCCCCCATGCTATTCAACATTTATATGAAACCGCTGGGAGAGATAATCCAGAGTGTTGGAGTTCGGTGTCAAATTTACGCAGATGACACCCCACTCTATTACTCCTTTCCACTGAATACCAAGGATGCCGTCTTACCCCTGAACCAGTGCCTGTCATCGGTAATGGAATGGATGAAGGCTAATATGCTGAAGACAAATCCAGACAAAACAGAGGTACTCCTCGTCAGTCAGAAGGCGGATCAAGGTGTGGGATTACAATCTATGCTGGGCAGGGTCACACTCCCTCTGAAAACTCAGGTCCACAGTCTGAGGGTGATCCTGGACTCATCACTGACCCTAGAACAGTGGTTCTCAACCTGGGGTCCCCAGATATTTTTGGCCTACAACTCCCAGAAATCCCAGCCAGTTTACCAGCTGTTAGGATTTTGGGAGTTGAAGGCCAAAAACATCTGGGGACCCCAGGTTGAGAACCACTGCCCTAGAACCTCAGATGTCAACATTTGCCAAGACTGCTTTCACACAGTTAAAACTTGTGCACCAGCTGTGCCTGTACCTGAGACGCCTGATCTGGCCATGGTGGTCCATGCCTTGGTTATTTATTATTATTTATTATTTAAAACACTTATATTCCGCCCTTCTCACCCCGAAGGGGACTCAGAGCGGAGCACAACATATACATGGCAAACATTCAATGCCTGGATACAATACATAAACATTAAAAAACATTTATCTAAATATTAAAATACACCATTTAAAATAACACAATTTAAAACCGTCCTAGCCATCCGCATCAAATCCAATTGGCCCTGTCATCTTTCCCATTGTCGCTTCATTGCCCTGACCCGAAAGCTTGATCCCACAGCCAAGTTTTTACCATCCTTCTAAAGGACAGAAGGGAGGGGGCGACCTGATCTCACAAGGAAGGGAGTTCCATAGCCGGGGAGCAATCACCGAGAAGGCCCTGTCTCTCGTCCCCACCAATCGCGGTTACTTCCTGTCTAGACTACTGCAATGCTCTCTACATGGGGCTGCCTTTGAAGACAGTTCGGAAGCTGCAACTAGTTCAGAGATCGGCAGCTAGGTTACTAACTGGAGCATCGTATCATGAGAGAACGACTCCCATGTTACGGCAGCTCCACTGGCTTCCCATCCGCTTCTGGGATAGATACAAATTACTGGTCATTACCTATAAAGCCCTAAATGATTCAGGCCCAGACTATTTGCAAAACCTCATCTCTGTATACAAACCAGCTCAAGCTTTGCTATCTGTAAAAGAGGCCCTTCTCTCAGTCCTACGTCTGTCTCAAGCCTGGCTGGTGAGAACGAGAGGGGGGTCTTCTCCATGGTTGAACCCCACCTCTGGACCTCCCTCCTGAAAGAACTAAAGACTGCCCTGTCTCTCCTCACCTTTAAAAAAATGGCTAAAAACTCTCCTATGCACTCTGGCATACTGAGAGGCGGGAGACTAACACATCTCAATATACATCCTTGTCTAGCTATGTTAAATCCTGTCTAGATAATGGGATTGATTTCAGCCTGTTGGTTGTTGAAAACCATCCTATCTCTCTATAGGGTTTTAGTTGTTTGTTTTAGATTTTTTATCCTGTGATAAATGTAAACTATGTACTATTTAAGTTATTATTTGATTAATTTTTGCCTGAAATTAAGTTTAAAGTTAGGAGTTTTATATTGTTTGATGTGTTCTATTTTAATGTAATTTGTTTATATGTCTTCTTGTTGGCATTGAATGTCTGCTGGAAACTGCCCTGAATCCCTTCACATAAATAATCATCATCATCATCATCATCATCATCATCATCATCATCATCATCATCTTGGGTACCTGGCGTTGCCCAGGTTATTTGAAAAAGTCAATTTTCAAATCCCTCAAAACCCACCAGTATTCAAATTTGGGCCTATTGGATATGCATGCCAAGTTTGGTCCCGATCCATTATTGTTTGGGTTCAGAGTGCGCTGTGGATGTAGGGTGAACTACAACTCCTATAAATCCCTCCAAAGATATCCAGTATGCTTTGTTGGTCATGGGGGTTCTGTGAATCAAGTTAATTCCAGATTCATTGTTGCTGGTGTTCAGAATGCTCTTAGATTGCAGGTGAACTATACATCCCAGTACCTACAACTCCTAGAATTCATGGTAAATTCTCTCCGAACCTCTCTAGTATGTTCAGTTGCTGATCAATTCCTCTGTTTGCTGTGTGCCTTAGAAAAGAATAGCAAAGGGTTAAGGGAGAGGCGGTGGGCAGGTCATGCAAAATCCACACCATTGGAGAGAGTAAGGAACACTGGGATGTCTGTGGTGGAGGAAACATATAAAATGTAGGATGAAATCCCTGTGTCAAAGCCTTCACTTGAGTGGTGGGCAGTATAGTATTTGTGGAGGACATTGGCAGGGCTCTTGGGCATGTTCATGGCGCTCTCTATAACCTGCAATGTCATTGGAAGGAGGGCCTTTGGTGTCTCCTGAGCAGCGGGAGTTATAGCCATTCATGGAAGCAGGAGCTTGTCTGTTTAAGTGGACACCCAGCCACACACATATTTTCACTTTTATTATGTGTATAGATTATTATTATTTGAAACACAACAAAATGAGTCCACAACAGACACTCTGCTGGCTGTTGTGTTGGATCACACGTCGGACACTTCCCAAGTGTCTAGGACTGTGTGATGTATTGGCGAATAATAATAATAATAATAATAATAATAATAATAATAATAATAGCTGTACCGGCCACACGTTGCTGTGGCCTACGTTCCCTCCCTTTTTCTCTTCTTTTTTTCTCTCCTTCCTTCGCTCCTTTCCTCTTCCTCCCTTCTTTTTTCTTCTCCCTCTTCCTTCTCTACCTTCCTTTCCTTCCTCCCCTCCTTTTTCCTTCCTTCCTTTTCCCCTTTCTTCCTTCCTTCCTCTTCCTTCCTTCTTCTTCCTTCCTTCTTTCTCTCTCTCTTTCTTTCTCCTTCTTTTCCTCCTTCCTTCCTTCCTTCCTCCTTTTTCCTTCCTTCCTCTCTTCCTCTTCTTCCTTCCTTCCTTTCTTCCTTTTCTTTTCTTCCTTTTTCTTCTCTCCTCTTTCTCTTACTTTCCTCCCTCTTTCTCCCTCTCTCCTTCCTTCCTTCCCTCTTTCTCTCTCCCTCTTTTCTGTATTGTCATTTAGTTTTTCATCATTTTGCATTTTGGGGGGGGGGTTTAAAGTCCTTTCCACTTTTGGGGGAGGGGTTATGAGTGATGGTAACTCGTTGGTCTGTTAGGAGTGTTGGTGTCCAAATTTCGTGTCAATTCGTCAAGTGGTTTTTGAGTTATGTTAATCCCACAAACGAACATTACATTTTTATTTATATAGATTATTATTATAGTATTATCTTCTTACCCACTACAGGAATCCTTTACGACACGTACCCCCTCTCGGCAGAGACCTGGCATACTCACCAGTTTGGCTTCATCAAGGTAAGAGGCAGCTGCCTTCAAATTGGGTTGAATTTTCTCTCCCTAGATACTTCCTAAGAGTTCTTAAGGAGTGGACACCTGCGGTGGAGCAAAGCTGGATCGTATTTATGAAATTCGGTGTCTTTTGCACAGGCACCATGATTGTGGGTGTCTGCGCGATCTGTACCCAAGGATTGCCAATCCAGAGGCTTTTCGGAGAGTTCGTTTCTTTGTTTACGGGGGACAGAAAAAGGATGTTTTAAGGCAGGCCTCTTTGACCTGTGGCGCTCCATACATTTGCGACTCCGACTCCCAGAAGCCCCTTTTACCAGCTTGTCTAATGGTCAGGAATTCTGGGAGCTGGACTCCCAAATCCCTCGAAGGCTGCACGTTGAAAAGATCTTGTCCAAGGCATTGGAGAGGATCAGAACTGCAAAGGCAGCCTCAGGAGCCCAAGATTGAGGCCCATTCTTTGCACAAAGGAAGTAGCTACAGGGGAGAAAATCCCTATTCCCCTCCAAACAAGAGTTCTCCAAATGGTTTTCCCCCGTTAGTCCCACAATTCGTAACATTGCTAAGGGAGAGACCAGATGAAATCCACCTGGAAAATCTGGCATTTGCTGGGTCTGCATTCTAGACTTAAATGAATCATAGAGTTGGAAGGGACCCCAAAGGCCATCCAGTCCAACCTTTCTGCCAGGCAGGAAGACACCATGTGATCCCTCCCAACGGATGGCCATTCAGCTTCATAGACATTAGCAGGGCTATAAATAAGGTCATGAATCCTAGAGTTGGAGGAGAACCGCAGGCCATCCAGTCCGACATCTTTTTGCCAGGCAGGAAGACACCATCCGATCCCTCCCAAAAAACTGACAACCAGCTTCATAGACATTAGCAGGCTACAAGGTAATAATAATAATAATAATAATAATAATAATAATAATAATAATAATTTATTTATAACCAGCCCTCTCTCCCCTAGGGGACTCATAGATTCCTAGAGTTGGAGGGGACCCCACGGGCCATCCAGTCCAACCTTTCTGCCAGGCAGGAAGACACCATGCGATCCCTCCCGACGTATGGTCATTCAGCTTCATAGACATTAGCAGGGTTATAAGGTCATAGATTCCTAGAGTTGGGAGAGGAACCCATGGGCCATCCAGTCCGACCCCCTTCTGCCAGGCAAGAAGACACCATCTGATCCCTCCCAACAGATGGCCATCCAGTTTCATAAACATTAGCAGGGCTTTGAGGTCATAGACTCCTAGTTGGAGGGGACCCCAAAGGCCATCCAGTCTAATCTCCTTCTGCCCGACAGGAAGACACCATCTGATCCCTCCCAAAGATGGCCAACCAGCTTCATAGACATTAGCAGGGCTATAAGGTAATAATAATAATACTTTATTTATAACCTGCCCTCTCTCCCCTAGAGGACTCATAGATTCCTAGAGTTGGAGGGGACCCCACAGGCCATCCAGTCCAACCTTTCTGTCCAGCAGGAAGATACCATGCAATCCCTCCTCACAGATGGCTTTCCAGCTTCATAGATATTAGCAGGTCTATAAGGTCATAGACTCCTAGAGTTGGAACGGACCCCAAAGGCCATCCAGTCCAACCCCCTTCTACCTGGCAAGAAGACACCATCTGATCCCTCCCAACAGATGGCCATCCAGCTTCATTGGCATTATCAGGACTATAGGGTCATAGACTCCTAAATTTGAAGCGGATCCCAAAGGCCATCCAGTCCAATCCTTCTGCCAGGCAGAAGGGCCATCCAGTCCATCTCCCTTCCGCCAGACAGGAGGAAACCATCCGATCTTTCCCGCCAGATGGCCATCCAGCCTCTGCTTCAAAGCCTCCAGAGAAGGAGAGTCCACCAGACTCCCAGGCAGCATATTCCACTGAAGAGTTAAACTACTGCATTGCTAGATATTTGCCATTTTGTCCCAAGCTGTGTAACCTTTTCTCCTTTTCCTTTCTCCTCAGGGCCATGCCCATCGGCTCCTGAAACCCGGCGGGGTCCTCACCTATTGCAACCTGACTTCCTGGGGCGAGCTCCTCAAGACCCAATACTCCGACATTGAGAAGATGTTTCAGGTGATTGTTTTTTTCTTCATTTTTAATTTTGCGACGCAGCAGCTAAAAAAGCGAATGCCATTGTAAGGGGCATCAATGGGAGTCTAGCATCCAGATAGTTGGGAGGGATTGGATGGTGCCTTCCTTAATGGCAGAAGGGGGTCGGACTGGATGGCGTGGGGTGGGTTTGGACAATATCTTCCTTAATTGCAGAAGGGGCTCGGATTGGATGGTCATCTGTGGGGAGGGATTGGATGGCGACTTCCTTAATGGCAGAAAGGGGGGGGGGGTCGGACTGGATGGCCATCTGTGGGGAGGGATTGGATGGTGACTTCCTTAATTTGCAGAAGGGGGTCAGACTGGAMGGCCACCTGTTGGGAGGGATTGGATGGTGCTTTCCTTGATGACAGAAGGGGGTCGGACTGGACAGCCATCTGTGGAGAGGGATTYGATGGCGCCTTCTTAATGGCCGAAGGGCTGGACTGGATGGTTATCTGTGGAGAGGGATTGGATGGCACCTTCTTAATGGCGGAAAGGGGCTGGACTGGATGGTTATCTGTGGAGAGGGATTGGATGGCYCCTTCTTAATGGCGGAAGGGGGCTYSACTGGATGGRTATCTGTGGAGAGGYATTGGATGGCGCCTTCCTTAATGGCGGAAGGGGGCTGGACTGGATGGCTATCTGTGGAGAGGAATTGGATGGCGCCTTCCTTAAAGGCGGAAGGGGGCTGGATGGCTATCTGTTGGGAAGGATTGGATGGTGCCTTCCTTAATGGCAGAAGGGGGTTGGACTGGATGGCCATCTGTGGAGAGGGATTGGATGGTGCCTTCCTTAATGGAAGAAGGGGGTCAGACTGGATGGCCTTTGGGGGTCACAATCCATAGGATTCCCACTCTAGGATTCTCCTCCTGCAGGAGACCCAAGTGCCGCACTTGGTGGAGGCCGGATTCCGGAAGGAGAACCTTAGCACCAGCGTCTTGGACCTCGTCCCTCCGTCCGACTGCAGGTACTATGCCTTCCCCAAGATGATCACCCCCAGAATCACCAAGTAAGACGGAGGGAAGAGAAGCAGCGACGTCACAAGAAGCACCCATCGTGGTTGATTTGCTGGACCAGAATCCCTTTGCAACATGTGAGCCACTCTTTCAACAAGAAAATCTATATTTCCACACCTTTCACCTGTCTTCTGGTCTTTTTTCTTTCATCGCTCGGAAGTTTCCAAACACATGCATCTGTGCCAAAGCTCCCCAAACTTGGATTTCACTTTGAATCACAAATCACATCATCCCCGCTGCACATATGGACTAGGGGTCCTGTGACCGATGGGAGTTGTCGTCCCAAACCAGCGAATATTTGGTCCTCTTGGAATTGCCCCAAAGCTCTAGGAATTGGGTGTATGAGGTGAAGGGATGATGGGAGCCAAAAGGGAGGGAGGACAGGATTCCCCAGGTGATACCAGGACTGTGTTATCGTGTGGATTACACCTCCCATCATCCCCATCCCATAGTAAGGAATGGCTGGAGGTAGAACAGGATTCCCCAGGTGTTACCAGGACTCGGCTAGCGTTCGGACTACATCTCCCATCATCCCTGTCCCATAGTAAGGAARGGCTGGYGGTAGAACAGGATTCCCCAGGTGTTACCAGGACTCAGCTAGCATTTGGACTACATCTCCCATCATCCCTGTCCCATAGCAAGGAATGGCTGGAGGTAGGATTCTCCAGGAGATACCAGGAATGAGCTAGCATGTGGACTACATRTCCCATCATCCCTGTCCCATAGCAAGGAATGGCTGGAYGTAGAACAGGATTCTCCAGGTGATACCAGGAATGAGCTAGTGTGTGGACTACATCTCCCATCATCCCTGTCCCATAGCAAGGAATGGCTGGGGGTAGAACAGGATTCCCCAGGTAATACCAGGTCTGAGGTAGTATTTGGACTGCACTTCCCATCATCCCTAGCCTTCCTGACAACTGACAGTTCAAATGGAGGACTAGATGACCCTCTGCGTCCCCTTTTGGGAGGAAATGTGCAGGAACCACGTTTCATACACACGTTTATTGGGGAAAGCCTTGTGCAAAGTGGCTTTGAAAAATGTGCGCTAAAGAGAATGGGCAAAGGGCCCCAAGCTTGGGCCGCTCACGCAGGTGAGGCAGAGAGTGGCTATTTCCGGTACCAGATCTGCAGCCGCCTCTCCCGCTTGATCTTCTTCTGGAGCTGCAGGATCCCGTAAAGGAGGGCTTCGGCAGTCGGAGGGCAACCTGAGGGCAGAGATTAGAGGCTAATTTTCCCAATCACAAGCCCAAAGGCCTTATTATTAGTACTACTACTGTTGGAATTATTGTTCTATATCGTCAAGTGTGCATTCTAGTCAAGAGACTATATTATTGCTTTGAGTATTATTACTATTACTATTATTATACTAGCTTGTTTACCCAGCCTTACCTGGGTTACTTGGAAAAGTACATTTTTAATTGTACAAAATGCATAAGGTTGTGGGTGAACTACAACTCCCATAATGCCAGGTTAACCCTGAAAAACTCCATCAGTACTACAAGATTGTTATGTTGGGCAAGTTTGCGCCAGACGCATCATTGGTGGGGTTCAGTATGCTCTCTGGCTGCAGGGTAAACTACAACTCCCACTATGGTGAGACAGTCCGCTCAAACCCCTCCAGTAGGTTGAGTTAGTCATGGGGGTTCTGTGTACCAAGTGTGGTCCAGGTCCATAATCGGTGGAGATCACAGTTTCTCTGGTTGTGGGTGAACTACAACTCCCAGGAAGGAAGGTCAGTTCCCCCCCAAACCCCTTCAGTAATCAAATTTTGGTATATCAGGTCTGTGTGCCAAGTTTGGTCCAGATCCATTGATGTTTGGTTCACAGTGCTCTCTGGAAGTAGGTGGACTACAACTCCCCCAAATCAAGATGAATTTTCCCCAAAGACCTCCAGTATTTTTTGCCAGTCATGGGGACTCTGTGTGCCAAGTTTGGCCCAATTCCATCTTTGGTGGAGTTCAGAGTGCTCACTGATTGGAGAACTATAAATCCCAATACCTACAACTCCAAAATGTCCAGGCCAATTCCCCTCAAAACCCAAATTTGGGCATATTTGGTATCCATGCCAAGTTTGGTCCAGATCCATCATTGGGTTCATAGTGTGCTCAGGATGTAGGTGAACTACAACTCCTCTAAATCCCTCCAAAGAACTCCAGTTTTGTTTTGTTGGTCATGGGGGTTCTGTGTGCCAAGCTAGTTCCAGGTCCATCATTGATGGAGTTCAGAGTGCAGTTCTTAGATTGCAGGTGAACTATACATCCCAGTACCTACAACTCCTATAAATCATGGCGAATTCTCCGCAAACCTCTCTAGTATGCTCAGTTGCCGATCAAGTCCTCTGTGTGCCATAGAAAAGAATAGGAAGGGGTTAAGGAAGAGCCAGTGGGCGGGGTCATGCAAATTCCACACCAATGGAGAGAGTCAGAAACACTGGGATGTCTGTGGTGGAGGAAACACAGAACATTTCCCCTTATGAAAGCCTTCACTTGGGTGGGGGGCAGTATTGTGTTTGTGAAGGACATTGGCAGGGCTCTCGGACATGTTGTTTGTGGAGGCAGGAGCTTGTCTGTGTAAGTGGACACCCCAGCCACACACAAATGTTTATTTTCACTTTTATTATGTGTATAGATAGATAATAACATGGTATAGATAGATAATAACTTTACATGGTATATATAAGTGTATCATATCTACATATATACAATGTATATTGACTTTATGCGATATATATATATATGTGTGTGTTTGTTTGTTTTTTGGCTTGATTTTACCTGGCACATAGATGTCCACGGGCACAATCCGGTCGCAGCCCCTGACAACGGAGTACGAATAATGGTAATAGCCCCCACCGTTGGCACAGCTACAAGATACAATGGCAGAAAGTCACATTGTGTTGCATCACACTCTTCACAATTGCCGTTCCGGACTATAACCCCCATTATCCCTCATCCATACAGGAGCTGGAATCAAACACATTGTGCCATCCTAAAGAGAAGCCACTGAAAGGCTTTTCTCCCTAACTCTATGCTGTGGATTTCAAACTGTATTGCTTTTAATGCTGTGAGCCACTCTGAGTCTTATTTAAGAGAAGAAAGCAGGGAGAAATAATAATAATAATAATAATAATAATAATAATAATAATAATAATGGGAATAATAAAGGGAATGCAGAAGGCCACCTTACTGGGATCTGCACGCATTATTCGCCGATACATGACACAGTCCTAGATACTTGGGAAGTGTCCGATGTGTGATCCAATTCAACAGCCAGGAGAGTGTCTGCTGTGGACTCATCTTGTTGTGTTTCAAATAATGGAAATGATAATGATAGTAATATTGATTATCAAAGGCATAATACTGTTGCTCAAATGATCAATTGGACCTTGTGCCACAAACACCATCTGCCTGTGACAAAGAATTGGTGGGATCACAAGCGTGAAAAAAGTTAAACAAAATAAACAACAGCCAGCAGAGTGATCTTTTGCTGTGTATTAATCATGTTGTGTTTCTAATCATCATCATCATCATCATCATCATCATCATCATCATCATCATCATCAAGTGTTGTCGAAAGTTTTCATGGCCGGAATCACTGGCTTGCTGTGAGTTTTCCAGGCCATCTGGCCATGTTCCAGAAGCATTCACTCCTGATGTTTTGCCCACATCTATGGCAGGCATCCTCAGAGGTTGTGAGGTCTGTTGGAAACTAGGCAAGTGAGTTTTATGTATCTGTGGAATGTCCAGGGTGGGAGAAAGAACTCTTGTCTGTTGCAGGCAAGTGTGAATGTTGCCATTGGCCAGCTTGATTAGCATTGAATAGCTTTGCAGTTTCAAAGCCTGGCTGTTTCCTGCGTGGGGGAATCCATTGTTGGGAGGTGTTAGCTGGCCCTGATTGTTCCTGTCTTGAATTCCCCTGTTTTCTGAGTGTTGTTCTTTATTTACTGTCCCAATTTTGGTCTACCGTATACCATGCAGCTGTCTACATAGGGACCACCAAACGCACCATTGTCCAAACATGAATCAAGGAACATGCAAGGTACTGCAGACTAATTCAACCAGAGGAGTCAGCCATAGCAGAGCGCTTTGTGAACCAGCCTGGACACAGCACATTATTTGAGAACACAGAAATACTGAACAACTCTCACAACCACTATGTCAGATGACACAGAGAAGCCACTGAAATCCACAAGCATGTGAACAATTTCAACAGAAATCCATGGAAATAATCAAAATCTGGCTACTAGTATTTTAAAAAACCTCTAAAATCAGGATAATAAATAAGATCCACACTCAAAAAACAGGCAAATTCCTGACAGGAATCAATCAAGGCCAGCTAACACCTCCCAACAAAGGATTCCCCAAGGCAGGAAGCAGCCAGGCTTGGAAGATGCAAGGCCATTAAATGCTAATCAAGGTAGCCAATCCCCAGCCAAATAAGCCTCAGATTCACTTTGAGACCATTCTTTAGAAGAAATATCCTGGTCAACAACTTTGGCACAGAGCTTTTCCACGAAGTCATTCTAAAAGCAGTTCTTGCCCTCGTTAAGGCCAGGAAACCTCAAAGCACCAGATTCAGTTCAATATGAGAACCTAAGCAGGGGTGGTAAGGACTTGGGTGGGAGACCAAGTGATGACTACAAGACCCTATAGCAGTGGTTCTCAACTTGGGGTCCACAGATGTTTTTGGCCTTCAACTCCCAGAAATCCTAACAGCTGGTAAACTGGCTGGGATTTCTGGGAGTTGTAGGCCAAAAACATCTGGGGACCCCAGGTTGAGAACCACTGCCCTATAGGCTGCCTAAGGAATTCTTATAGAATTTATGCTCTTACCTTCCCATAGACACGACGTAACGGGGTTCCGGCATCTGGTCATAGACCTGCCAAGAGAGAAAAGAAACACAAGAAGAAGAAAAAAAGCCTTGTTGAATCAGGTTGGACGAATAATAATAACAATACAATAAAACGTTACTTGTATTCCACCCTGTCTCCAAGGAAGGGACCCCAAAGGTCATCCAGTACCACCTGCTTGTTATGTAGGGACACACACCACTTTGCAAGCCCTCCTGAAAGAGGCCCCTCTCCCGTAAGGCCACCCGTTGCAGTTCTGGAGAGACTTATTTTGCAATGCGATCCTAGGTTGCCTCCATAACACTATATTACACTATTTTTGTTCCTGCATTACAAATGTCATTTCCTAACTGGTTCAATCATGAAAACACTGGAAAAGTATATTAAATTTCAAAAACTTTGTTTTTGCAGGAAGGACATCCTGCAGCACATTTTACCTACTTTTTCAATGAATATCTCATTGAGTCTCAACCATAGAATTATAGAATCACAGAGTTGGAAGAGACCTCGTGGGCCATCCAGTCCAACCCCCTGTAAAGAAGCAGGAAAATTGCATTCAAAGCACCCCTGACAGATGGCCATCCAGCCTCTGTTTAAAAGCTTCCAAAGAAGGAGCCTCTACCACACTCCAGGGCAGAGAGTTCCACTGCCAAACAGCTCTCACAGTGAGGAAGTTCTTCCTAATGTTCAGATGGAATCTCCTTTCTTGTAGTTTGAAGCCATTGTTCCATTGCGTCCTAGTCTCCAGGGCAGCAGAAAACAAGCCTGCTCCCTCCTCCCTATGACTTCCCCTCACCTCTTGATCCATGGCCCTCATCATGTCTCCTCTCAGCCTTCTCTTCTTCAGGCTAAACATGCCTAGCTCTTTAAGCCCCTCCTCATAGGGCTTGTTCTCCATACCCTTGATCATTTTAGTTGCCCCCCTCTGACAACATTCCAGCATGTCAACATCTTCCATCAATTCAACACTGGTTGTGGCAGCCACAGAAACAAAGTGTTTGAAGTAGAACAACTACTTTTAAAGTAAGGACTGCACAATTAAACAGAAAATAACATTTATTTACTTACTATATTTCTACCTCCACTCTAATCACCCAGAAAGGATTCAGAGCGGCTTACAGATATGGCAAAATTCAATGCCGCATTACAAATATAAATAAACACATCTATACACATAATAAAAGTGAAAATATGTATGTGTGTACGTGGCTGGGGTGTCCACTTAAACAGACAAGTTTCTGCCTCCACAAACTGCTATAGCTCCCACGACTCAGGAGACACCAAAGGCCCTCCCACCAATGACATTGCGGGTTATAGTGAGCATCATGAATATGTCCAAGAGCCCTGGCAATGTCCTATTCCTATTCTTTTATATGGCTTTCATATGGGAACAATTTCATCCTAGATTTTCTGTTTTTTCTCCACCACAGACATCCCAGTGTTTATTTCTCTCTCCACTGCTGTGTAATGTGTATGACCCCGCCCACTGAGTGCCATGAACATATAGAAGAGCCCTGCTGATGTCTTCCACAAACAACATACTGCCCACCAGCCAAGTGAAAGCTTTCATACAGGGACAATTCCATCCCAGATTTTATGTGGTTCCTCCACCACAGACATCCCAGTGTTTCTGACTCTCTCTATTGGTGTGGAATTTGCATGACCCTGCCCGCTGCCTCTCCCTTAACCCTTTCCTATTCTTTTCTATAGCACACAGTAAACAGAGGAATTGATCAGCAACTGAACATACTAGAGAGGTTTGGGGAGTATTCCCCATGATCTATAGGAGTTGTAGGTCCTGGGATTTATAGTTTGCCTGCAATCAAAGACCACTCTGAACTCCACCAACAATGGACCTGGAACTAACTTGGCACACAGAATCACCATGACCAACAAAACATAATGGAGGTCTTTGGGGGATTTATAGGAGTTGTAGTTCACCTACATCCAGAGAACACTATGAACCCAACTAATGTTCAATCTGGACCAAACTTGACATGCATACCCAAATATGAATACTGGTGGGTTTTGAGGGGAATTGGCCTGGACATTTTGGAGTTGTAATTATTATTATTATTATTATTATTATTATTATTATTATTATTATTATTATATTTTTTTACACCCTGCCTCCATCTCCCCCAAGGGAACTCGGGGCAGCTTACATAAAGCCATGCCCATCAATAAAGTAAACACAATATAAACACAAAAACACAACAGAAGACCAGAAAATAAATTACATAAAATGCAAAACCAATATCAATAAGCGATACTGGGATTTTTAATTCACCTGCAATCTATGAGCCCTCTGAACTCCATCAAAGAGACAATTGGACCAAACTTGACACACAGAGTCCCCATGACCAGCAAAAAGTACTGGAGATCTTTGGGGGAAATTCACCTTGATTTGGGGGAGATGTAGTTTACCTACATCCAGAGAGTGTGGAGTAAACCTTTGTATAAAGAAACAAAGAGTGACATCTGCTGGTTGAAAGAATCCCTTCCAACTTGCAGTTTTTACTCCAGAAAGAAAAACAAGATAAACCGCACAAGCCAGTCTTTAGGATATCAAACACTAAAATGTTACTGTCTATCTATAGCTAAGCAAGTATTAATGACAATAGAACAATAAAAACAGAAACAAAACATACCCAAAGATCAAACAAAAGAGCCGGATCTATACACATCCCTCTCTCTATCATCTCATGCTTTTTATCCCTTACTAGTCGACTCCATTTTAAACTATATTTTAATGACATTTGACGCAGAATCACACTGACCTTTGTCATTGCAGCATCACACTGTTGGCTCAGTTCTGCTTGGGGTCTACTGAGACTCCTAAAACCTTTTCACATGGACCATGACTTCCCCCAATCTAGATACTATACTTCTTGAATCCCATTAGCCTTTTGAGCTGCGGCACCACACTCTTGTTCATGTTTGGCTTGCAGTTTACTAATCTGCCAAGATCCCTTATATGATGGAAGTTGTAGTTCACCCTGCATCAAGTCAGAGCACTGTGACTCCCACTAACAATCGACCTGGACCACATTTGGCACACAAAACCCCCATGGCAAAAAACTGAGGAGGTTTGGGGGCATCCACCTTGATTTATAGCTGTTGTAGGTAGTGGGATTTATAGTTCACCTGCAATCTAAGAGCAGTCTGAACTCCACCAACGACGGACCTAGAATTAACTTGACACACAAAACCTCCATGACCAACAAAACATACTGGAGGTCTTTGGGGGGGATTTATAGGAGTTGTAGTTCACTTACATCCAGAACGCACTATGAACCCAAACAATGATGGATTGGGACCAAACTTGGCATGCATACCCAATAGGCCCAAATTTGAATACTGGTTGGTTTTGAGGGTTTTGAAAATTGACTGCTTTCATGTGGTGCCATGCGTCCTCTCCCATACCTTCAGGGAAGGAGATCCCACTTGAACATTAGGAAGAACTTCGTGATGGTAAGAAGAGCAGTTCAGCAGTGGAACTTTGTGCCTTTTTTAAACAGAGGCTGGATGGTCATCTGTTGGGGATGTTTTGATTTTCTGTTCCCACATTGCAGAATGGGTTTGGACTGGATGGCCCTTGGGGTCGCTTCCAACTCTATGAAACCATTCCTTGTCTTTTTCCAAAACAGCAGGCAACATGTTGGCTCCCTGGGTGTGATACCCCTTTAAATATTTATCCTGTCCTCGCTTAACCTCTTCTTCAGGCTAATCATCCCCGGAGTCCTTAGCCACTCCTCATTAGGATTTATGGCTTCCAGACCTTTGGCCAGTTTGGTAGCCCTTCTCTGGACATCTTCCAGGTTTTCTATAACCTTCTTGAATTGCTTTGGCCAGAACTGGACACAGGGTTATTCCAGGTGAGGTCTGACGAAGTGGAAGAGAGTGGGGTTGCGACTTCCCTCGTTTTACGCTCCTATTGATGCAGCTGAGAATCACTTTGGCCTTTTTCACTGCCGCATCACACCCTTGGCTCATGCTCAGTTGTGGTTCTAAGACCCCTAGATCCCATTCACATCAACTTTGACTTCCCTCGATCTGGACACAAGACTTCTTCAGATGCTACTTAGAATCATGTTGGCCTTTTTTGCTGCCGCACCACAATCTTGGCTCATATCTAGTCTAGTAAGACTCCTAGATCCCTTTCACATTGATTATGACTTCCCTTCATCTGGACACTAGACTCCTATTGATGCAGCCTTGAATCATCATCATCATCATCAACATCATCATCATCATCATCTATATAAATAAAAATGTAATGTTCCTTTGTGGGATTAACATAACTCAAAAACCACTGGATGAATTGACACCAAATTTGGACACAAGACACCTAACAACCCAATGTATGTCACTCAAAAAAAATGATTTTGTCATTTGGGAGTTGTAGTTGCTGGGATTTATAGTTCACCTACAATCAAAGAGCATTCTGAACTCCAGCAATGGTATTGAACCAAACTTGGCACACAGTTCTCCCATGACCAACAGAAAATACTGGAAGGGTTTGGTGGGCAGTGTCCTTTGGTTTTGGAGTTGTAGTTCACCTACATCCAGAGATCTCTGTGCACTCAAACAGTGATGGATCTGGACCAAACTCTACATGAAAACTCAATATGCCCAAATGTGAACACTGGTGGAGTTTGGGGAAAATAGAATCTTGACATTTGGGAGTTGTAGTTGCTGGGATTTATAGTTCACCTTCAATCACAGAGCATTCTGAACCCCACCAACGATAGAATTGGGCCAAACCTCCCACACAAAACCCCCATGTGGGCCACAGCAATGCGTGGCAGGGGACGGCTAGTAATAATAATAATAATTTTAAAATCTCATATTCCTTCCATTCAAAACATCAGCAGCGGACTCAGAGCGGCTTACATGGGACCAAGCCCGGACAACATATTACATCAAAAGAAAACCAAAACATAAACAACAAGCAACATTATCAAAATTGCATTGAATTGCATTGGCCTTTTTCACTGCCGCATCACACCTTTGACTCATGCTCAATATGTGGTTCTATTAAGGCCCCTTAAATCCCTTTCGCGTGGACTTTGACTCCCCTCGATCAGGACACAAGACTTCTATGGATGCAGTCAAGAATTACCACCTCTGCTACAAAACAGGAGCTTTTTTGTTGAGTTTCATGGCCAGAAAAGCAGATGGCAAAGACAAAAGAACGGCCTGCCTCAAGGGAGTGTACTTGCACCATCAATGTTTAACATTTACACAAATGATCAGCCACTGCCAGAAGGGACAAGAGAGTTTAATCTATGCTTACGAACATGCCATCACCGCTCAAGCAGAGAGCGTTGAAACAGTTGAACAGGAGCTCTCCAAAGCTCTAGGTCAGTGGTTCTCAACCTGTGGGTCCCCAGATGCTTTGGCCTTCAACTCCCAGAAATCCTTACAGCTGGTAAACTGGCTGGGATTTCTGGGAGTTGTAGGCCCACAGGTTAAGAACCACTACTCTACGTGTTCCTACTGCCTATTACAGGGGAAACTAGCTGATTCCTAATCCATCTAAAATGCAGACATGTGCTTTTCACCTTAAGAACACACAAGCATCTTGAGCTCTGAAGATTTTCTGGGAAGGAATCCCACTGGAGCATTGCAGCACACCCAAATACCTGGGAGTCACTCTGGACTGTGTTCTGACTTATAAGAAGCACTGCTTGAATATCAAGCAAAAAGTGGGTGCTAGAAATAATATCATACGAAAGCTGACTGGCGCAACCTGGGGATCACAACCAAAGACAGTGAAGACATCTGCCCTTGTGCTTTGCTACTCTGCTGCTGAGTACACATGCCCAGTGTGGAATACATCTCACCACATTGGAACAGTGGATTTGGCTCTTGATGAGACATGCCACATTATCAACGGATGTCTACGCTCAACACCGTTGGAGAAATTACACTCTTTAACCGGGATCGCACTACCTGACCCCCGTCAGGAAGTAGCAGCCAGCAATGAAAGGACCAAGGCATGGACATCCCCGGCCCATCCTCTGTTCAGCTTGTAGTCGACTAAGACCCAGATCCCTTTTATATGGACCACTGACATGTCGTGCCAGGCATCCCAACCCATACCATGTATGTTCTCCCATACCTTCCGGAGGGCTGGGGCCATCTTGTTAGTCAAGGTCCCGGCCACAATCATGACGTCAGCTTGCCGGGGACTGGCCCGGAAGACCACACCGAAGCGGTCCATGTCGTAGCGTGGGGCGGCCATGTGCATCATCTCCACCGCACAGCAGGCCAAGCCAAAGGTCATGGGCCACAAGGAGCTCTGGAGGTAGAGGAAATGTAAGAGAAAGGTGTTAGATGCTCTCTCTTCCCACCAAAGGATCGTATTTATATACCTAACAGTGAAAATCTGTATGTGTGTATGTGGCAGGGGTGCCCACTTCCACAGGCAGGCTCCCACTTCCCCAAACAGCTTTAACCCACAGTGCTGAGGAGCCACCAAAAGCCCTCCCTCCAATGACATTTCAGGTTATAGTGAGCGCCATCAACATGTAGCACAAGCCCTGCCAATGTCCTCCCCAAACACCATACTGCCCACCAACCAAGGAATGCTTTCATTCGGGGACAATTTCATCCTTGATTTTACGTGTTTCCTCCACCACAGACACCCCAGTGTTTCGTACTCTCTCCATTGGTGTGGAATTTGCATGATCCCGACCATTGCCTCTCCCCTAACCCTTTCCTACTCTTTTCAACTCTGCCTTGACAGCAAACACAGCAGAACTAATCAGCAACTAAACATAGGGAGGAGTTTGGGGGATTGACTCCACATGATGGAAGTTGTAGTTCACCCTGCATCAAGTCAGAGCATTGTGACACTAACAATGGACCTGGCCCACATTTGGCACACAAAACCCCCATGACAAAAAAAAAACAAAAACTGAGGAGGTTTGTGGGCATTCACCGTGATTTATAGCTGTTGTAGGTAGTGCGATTTATAGTTCACCTGCAATCTATGAGCAGCCTGAACTCCACCAACGATGAACCTGGGATCAACTTGACACACAGAACCCCTATGACCCACAAAACATATTGGAGGTCTTTGGGGGGATTTATAGGAGTTGTAGTTCACCTACATCCAGAGTGCACTCTGAACCGAAACAATGATGGATCAGGACCAAACTTGGCATGCATAACCAATAGGCCCAAATTTGAATACTGGTGGGTTTTGAGGGTTTTGACAATTGCCTTTTTTAAATAACCTGGGTAACGCCGGGTACCCGAAGGGACTCAGGGCAGTTTCCAGCATATACGGCAAACATCAAATGCCAACGAGAAGACATATAAACAAATTACATCAAAATAGAACACATCAAACTATATAAAACTGCCTAACTTTAAATTTAATTTCAGGCAAAAATGAATCAAATAATAAAAACTTAAATAACCCTCACATACGCTATCACATAGTATACATTTGTCACAGGATAAAACATCTAAAACAAACAACTAAAACCTTATAGAGAGATGGGATGGTTTTCAACGACCAACAGGTTGAAATCAATCCCATTATCTAAACAGGATTTAACATAGCTAGACAAGGATGTATGCTGAAACATGTTAGTCTCCCTCCTCTCCGTACGCCAGAGTGCATAGGAGGGTTTTTAGCGACCTTTTTAAAGGCGAGGAGAGACAGGGCAGTATTTCGTTATTTCGGGAGGGAGTTCCAGAGGTGGGATTGGGCCATGGAGAAGGCCCCCCTCTCGTTCCCACCAGCCAGGCTTGAGACAGAGGTAGGACTGAGAGAAGGGCCTCCTTTGCAGATGGCAAAGCTTGAGCCGGTTTGTATACGGAGATGAGGTTTTGCAAATAGTCTGGGCCTGAATCATTTAGGGCTTCATAGGTAATGACCAGCACTTTGTTTTTATCCCGGAAGTGGATGAGCAGCCAGTGGAGCTACCGTAACATGGGAGTCATTCTCTCATGATACGATGTTCCAGTTAGTAACTTGGCTGCTGATCTTTGAACTAGTTGCAGCTTCCAAACTGTCTTCAAAGGCAGCCCCATGTAGAGAGCATTGCAGTAGTCTAAATGGGAAGTAACCAAAGCGTGGACTACCTTGGCCAGATCTGGTGTCTCAAGTTACGGGCACAAGTTCTAATTGTGCAAAGGTGCTAGGTTTCCAGGGTCAGTGATAAATCCAGGATCACCCCAGACTGCACAACTGTGTCTTCAGAGGGAGTGTGACGCCATCCAGCATAGGCTGTAATCCCACACACTGATCCGCCTTCTGACTGATGAGGAGTACCTCTGTTTTGTCTGGATTTGCCTTCAACTTATTAAGAGCACTCTGGACCCCATTAACGATGGCTCTGGAGTGGTTTGGGAGAAACTGACTTTCCTTTCTGGAAGTTGTAGTTCACTTATATCCAGAGACATTGTGACCACCACCCATGACGGACCTGGACCAAACTGGGCACACAGAACCCCTATGACCAGCTGAATCTACTGGAGGGGTTTGAGGGGACTGACTCAACGTGGTGGGAGCTACAGTTTATCCTGCAGCCAGAACCCGACCAATGATGCATCTAGAGCAAAATTGCCCAACATGACAAACTTTAAGCACCGATGGGAGTTTCTCACGGTGAACCTGGCATGATGGGAGGTGTAGTTCACCTAAAACCTTATGCATTTTGTAAAAAATTTTAAATTTTTTTTTTCAAATAACCTGGGTAATGTTGGATACCCAAGCTAGTAGGAGAAAAAAAGTAATACAAGGCTTTAATATAAAGCTTCCAGCAATGGAAAAGAAAGCCTTGGGGTGCATCTATGCTGTAGAATAATCCAATTTAATTTCGTCGGTCCAGTGCCATGGAGTCATGTAGCTTGACAAGGTCTTCGCCAAAGAACAAATACCAGTTTTGCATAGCACTGAGCCATGGCCATTCAATTCAAGATGATGTCCTTCAAAGAAGAGTTCCAGGAACTCCTGAAGATGACCGTATGACGCGAATCTCATGCGCACCCCAATTTTGGAGAGGTAATTTAGCCCAAAAATGTGAGCAATAGATTTGAGTCAATAGGGTATTTCAAAAGCTAGAGGAACACATAAACCAGCGAAGGGAGCAAAAGGACTGCTTTCTGCACAGAACTCACCCGACGGGCCCAGTTGATCAAGTCATCCAGTTTGGTGATGACATATTCCCCGCGACTGCTGGGGACAAGTGGCTTCTTCTGGACCATGGCGGTGCTCTTGGTCTGGATGGCGGCGGAACTGCGGAGAACATGTGGATACAAAACACACCATTACTTTTTTTAATTTGAGAAAATACTTCTATAGGAATTTCTAGATCCTCCTACAGGGCTTAAGGGTCAATGTTTCCTGGGCCCAGAACCGCATGTAGGAACCTAATGATCCCTAGTGACTTCATGGCCTGGCCCTAGTCTCAGGCTGGACAATCCGGGGAAGCAATGATGATGATGATGCCGATGATCTTCATTGCTGCTTTGAGTCTCCCTCTTTAGAGAGAAAAAGTGGGATTTTAATAATAATAGTGATGATGATGATGAAAGCAACAACGCAGTTCTCTGTATCAGAACTACAAAGAACCCCAGGAATAACCTAATAACCAAGACACCAAGATATTTTTTATTGAGCTGTGTTGTTATTATTATTACGAGCGTGGGTTCCCGGAATTGCCCGGGTTATTTGAAAATATCCATTTTTTTATTTCTCCAAAATGCATGTGGGTGAACTATAACTCACATCATGTCAGGTTAACCCTGAGAAACTCCACCAGTACTTAAAGTTTGTTATGTTGGGCAAGTTTGCTATAGATGCATCATTGGTGGGGTTCAGTGTGCTCTCTGGCTGTAGAGTAAACTACAACTCCCACTATGATGGGTCAGTCCCCTCAAAGCCCTCCAGTAGGTTGACTTAGTCATGGGGGTTCTGTGTGCCAAGTTTGGTCCAAGTCCATCATCGGTGGAGGTCACAATGTCTCTGGTTGAGGGTGAAAGTCAGTTCCCACCAAACCTCTCTAGTAATCAAATTTCAACGTATCAGGTATGTATAGCATGTTTGGTGCAGATCCATTGGTGTTTGGATTACAGTGTTCTTTGGGGGTAGGTGAACTACAACTCCCTCAAATCAAGGTGTATTTTCCCCAAAGACCTCCAGTATGTTTTGCTGGTCATGGGGGCTCTGTGTGCCGTGTGGTCCAATTCCATTTTGGTGGAGGTCAGAGTGCTCACTGGTTGAATGTGAACTATACATCCCAGTACCTACCTACAACTCCAAAATGTCTAGGCCAATTCCCCATAAAACCTACCACTATTCAAAGTTGGGCATATCGGGTATGCATGCCAAGTTTGGTCCAGATCCATCATTCTTTGGGTTCATAGTGCGTTCTGGATGTAGGTGAACTACAACTCCTCTAAATCCCTCCAAAGACCTCTAATATGTTCTGTTGCTCATTGGGGTTCTGTGTACCAAGTTGGCTCCAGTTCCATTGTTGGTGAAGTTCAGAGTGCTCTTAGATTGCAGGTGAACTATAAATCCCAGTATGCACAACTCCTATAAATCATGGTGAATTCTCCCCAAACCTCTCTAGTATGTTCAGTTGCCGATCAATTCCTCTGTTTGCTGTGTGCCATAGAAAAGAATAGGGGAGAGGCAGTGGGCGGGGTCATGCAAATTCCACACCACTGCAGAGAGTAAGAAACACTGGGATGCCTGTGTGGAGGAAACACATAAAATCTAGGATGAAATTGTCCCCGAATGAAAGCTTTCACTTTGCTGGTGGACAGGATGGTCCCTGTGGAGGACATTGGCAGGGCTCTTGTACATATTCATGGTGCTCACTATAACCTGCAACGTCATTGGAGGGAGGGCCATTGGTGTCTCTTGAATGGTGGGAGCTATAGCTGTTTGTCGAGCTAGGAGTGTGTCTGTGTAAGTGGACACCCCAGCCACACACACACATGCATATTTTCCCTTTTATTATATGTATAGATTACATTTTAAATAAATTATTTGAGGGATTTCACGTCAGGGGCCTTTGTCCGTCCCTGTTATGGGGGTTAAGGGTTCAGGATTTCTGGACTACAACTGCTATTCCTAGCACAGCCAAAAGGGAGAATGGGAGTGGTTAGATTGTAACATGTAGAGGTTGAGGAAAGTGGCTACAACCATAACCCAAATGTGGGGAGATTTTGGCCTGGGGGCTGGTACTGGGGTTGAAAGGTTTGTCCTGAGTTTCCACTGGCTTTTGAAGTCTTCCCCCTAGAACACTGATTTTGAAGGGCAAGATGGTGCAGATATACAGTGGTCCCTTACTTATCGTGGGTGTTATGTTCCTGGATTCCGCGATATAGGGACGCCTCCTCACCTACCCCCCTCCTTACGTGCTTCATCCTCCTCCTCTTTGCCACCTGGGGCCTCTTCCTGCAATGCTGCATGGGGCCCAAGCGGCAGGAAGAGACCCCAGGCAGCGAAGAGGAGGAGGATGAGGCACATAAGGAGGGCAAAATTCTTTTTAAAGAAAATACCTGCAAAACAGTGAGTCTGAAGGAGCGAGGGACCACTGTAGTTTTGAAGCAGAGGCTGGATGGCCATCTGCTAGATTGTGCTTGGCAGGGAATTGGACTAGATGGGCTTTGGGGTCTCTTCCAACTCTAGGATTCTATGATAGAAGGTCCCTTTGAGGCTGGATGGCCATCTGTCAGGACAGATTACATTGTGTCTTCCTATTTGGAAGCCTTTGGGCTCTCTTCCAACGAGGATTCAATGATTCTATAGCCGTATTTCTCGACGAATCTGCTAATGTCTTTGAGGGATTAGATAGTGTCTCGCTCTCTGAAAGAATAGGGTGGAACTGGATGGCCCCTGGGGGTCTCTTCCAACTCTAGGATCCTCTTAGTTTATGTCCCCAAAGAAACAGATCTGGACTTACCTCTCTGCGCCGTCCGCCGGGGGCGTCTGGTGCACAGAGCGGACCTGGAACGTCGCGACCGGCCTGTTCAAAGAAAGGAAAGCCATTCCAAAAAAATCAGCCCCAGCAAAGAAGAGCCCCACCCCCCAATAGAATTTCATGCCAATGTCTCACTTCCAACGGGAAGAGGGTCTTGCTTACCTGAAAAGGAGCCAACCCCGGGGGGCCACGCAAGACACTGGAAAGGAAAGCAGAGGAAAAGATGGATACAAATGAGGAATGCAAGGAAAAGGCATTATGGCCTCCTGTATCCACAAGGCCTGGCATTCTCATTGACAAATGTCTAGCAAAACATGTCCTCTCTAGGCATGCCCTAGTCCTCCAAGCAACTCTTACAGTAGATTTCTTATGTCCTGTCCTCCAAACGACTCTATAGTATGCTTCCTATGTCCTCTCTAGGCATTTTCTAGATTCTCCAGGTGACCCTGTAGTATGCTCCCTATGTCTTCTCTAAGCATTTTCAAGATCCTCCAGGCGGCTTTATAGTATTTATTTATTTATTTATACCATTTCTACCCCACCCTTCTCACCCCCGAGGGGAGACTCAGGGCGGCTAACACAGGCAGCAATTTGATGCCACAGTATCAGTAACACAATGTAAAATCATAATATATAGCAAATTAAAAACAGTAACATTAATTATAATCACATAGCCATATAATCACATAGTCACAATTTTCTAGATTCTCAAGGTGACCCTGTAGTATGCTCCCTATGTCCTCTTTAGGCATTTTCTAGATGCTCCAGGTGACTCTATGGTAGGCTCTCCATATCCCCTCTGGGCTTTTCCTAGATCCTCGAGGTGACTCTATAGTATGCTTCTATGTCTTCTCTAGGCATGTTCTAGATCCTGCAGGTGTCTATTCTGCCTATGTACCCTCTAGGCATTTTTATGTACACCAGATGACGCTATAGTATGCTTCAATGTCTTCTCCAGGCATTTTCTAGATCCTCCAGGCGGCTCTATGGTATACTTCCCATGTCCCCTCTAGGCTTTTTCTAGATCCTCCAGGTGACTATGGTATCTTCCCATGTCCCCTCTAGGCTTTTTCTAGATCCTCCAGGTGACTATGTTATACTCCCCATGTCCCCTCTAGGCTTTTTCTAGATCCTCCAGGTGACTATAGTATGCTCCCTATGTCTTCTCTAGGTATTTTCTAGATTCTCCAGGTGACTCTATAGTATGCTTCTATGTCTTCTCCAGGCATTTTCTAGATCCTCCAGGCGACTCTATGGTATACTCCCCATGTCCCCTCTAGGCTTTTTCTAGATCCTCCAGGCGACTCTATGGTATATTCCCCATGTCCCCTCTAGGCATTTTCTAGATCCTCCAGACGACTCTACAGTATACCCCCATGTCCCCTCTAGGCTTTTTCTAGATCCTCTAGGTGACTCTATAGTATGCTTCTATTTATTCTCTGAGCACATTCTAGATCCTACAGGTGTCTATTCTGCCTATGTGTCCTCTAGGCATTTTTATGTACCCTAGATGTCTCTAGATCCTCCAGGTGACTATGGTATGCTCCCTATGTCTTCTCTGGGCCTTTTCTCAGCTCTCCAGGAGACTCTATGCTATGCACCCAGCCCCCCTCTAGGCCTTTCTATCGACTCATCTGGCTGAAGTTCTCATCTCTTGGCATGTTGGGACTCTATCGTACGCTTCCTATGTCCTCACTCTATTCCAGTGGTTCTCAACCTGCGGGTCCCCAGATGTTTTGGCCTCCAACTCCCAGAAATCCTAACAGCTGGTAAACTGGCTGAAATTTCTGGGAGTTGTAGGCCAAAACACCTGGGGACCCACAGGTTGAGAACCACTGCCCTATTCCTTCAGGCCTGGCAAAACCTGACCTCTCTAGGCTTTTCCTAGGTCCTCTAGGTGACTCTGTGATCTGCTTCCGCCGGTGTACCCACAAAATGCTCCGGGAGGATCTAAATAGGAGAGTGTGGCTTGAAGTATGGCATCTTCCCTTCCGACTCAAAATTCTTTTGAGTTCAGTTCAAGACTGGAGGATTCTGGGAAGCAGGGATCCCCCAAAGCAGGGCCTCGCCGGAAGCGGGGCCTCCTAAAGCGGACGGACCAAAGCTCTGCAGCCCTCCTTTCCCTTTTGAGATCTCTCCCTCAACTCTCCTCCTCCTCCGGAATAGTACACTCCGCTCCTGGCCCCGCTCACCTGCCAGGGCCGCCATGGAGGCTCGCCGGCTCTGCTCCGTCTGAGCCCTTCAAGGCACCTTTAGCCGAGCTGTGCACCGTTTAAACGCTCCGGGTGGGAAACAACGCCGCCGCCACTCTGCTTCCGGGAAACAAAGGGATTCGCCTCCTACGCCCCCTGAAGGCAGCGAAGGGAGCAGCATCGCTTTCCAGCCCCTTTTCCACTGCCGAGGATACGCCCCCTTATTTACATAGCCCCTCCTCTCTTCGGTGGCCGAGCGCGGCCATTTTTGTTACGGGCACCCTTGCCCTTCTGTATTGCAGGCAGGCTTTTGCCACTTCTCCGTCTCGCCTTTCCCTGCCTTTTATCTACCATATTCGCAAATGGAGAGGCTTCCAAAGCGTTGCAACACATTTTCAATATTTATTCACATAAGAACAACAACAAAAGAGGGAAGCGTCCCTGGGTGGGCTCGAACCACCAACCTTTCGGTTAACAGCCGAACGCGCTAACCGATTGCGCCACAGAGACCCAGCTGCTCCTCCACCTTCCCTGGCTCTCCTTAGAAACGAAACATCAGCCAAAAGACAGGCAGTCTTCCATCACTCTCCAACACACTGAAAAATTCAACAATGATGCTAAAGTTTACTACGGGTGACCATCCTTCCCAGATCTGTAGATTTCCCAAGAGAAAGAGCAGCTAAGCATAAGGAGGATAATCATTCCTAACACCTCCCAACAAAGGATATCCCCAGGGAGGAAGCAGTCAGGCTTTCAAGCTGCAAGGCTATTCAATGGCAATCATAGAATCCTAGAATCAAAGAGTTGGAAGAGACCTCATGGGCCATCCAGTCCAACCCCATTCTGCCAAGAAGCAGAAATATTGCATTCAAATCACCCCTGACAGATGGCCATCCAGCCTCTGTTAAAAGCTTCCAAAGAAGGAGCCTCCACCACACTCCGGGCAGAGAGTTCCACTGCTGAACGGCTCTCACAGTCAGGAAGTTCTTCCTCATGTTCAGGATAACTGGATAACTGCATGTCCAGCCATTGTTCCGCGTCCTAGTCTCCAGGAAGCAGAAAACAAGCTTGCTCCCTCCTCCCTGTGGCTTCCTCTCACATATTTATACATGGCTATCATATCTCCTCTCAGCCTTCTCTTCTTCAGGCTAAACATGCCCAGTCCTTAAGCCGCTCCTCATAGGGCTTGTTCTCCAGCTGACCAATGGCAAACATTCACACTTGCCTCCAACAGACAGGAGTTCTTTCTCCCACCTGGGATATTCCATAGTGGGGAAAAAATATTTAGTCAGATATCAATTGTACAAGTACTCCCACTTAAAAAGATGAAAGATAATTGACATCAATTGACATCACCTGAAGCCCCAGGTTGGCGTGAGCAGTCAAATGTCAGCCCTAGCTCATTGTTTACCCTCAATCCCTCTCCAATGCCAGCGATACAGCTTAATGGTGTAACATTAGAAAATGTTGACCATTTCTGCTACCTTGGCAGCCACCTCTCCACCAAAGTCAACATCGACACTGAAATACAACACCGCCTGAGCTCTGCAAGTGCAGCATTTTTCCGAATGAAGCAGAGAGTGTTTGAGGACATCCGTAGGGATACCAAGGTGCTTGTTTATAAAGCTATTGTCCTCCCAACCCTGCTGTATGCCTGTGAGACGTGGACTGTCTACAGACGTCACATGCAACTCCTGGAACGATTCCATCAGGGCTGCCTCTGAAGCAGACAAATGTAAGCATGCTGGAAGAAGCAAAGACCACCAGCATTGAAGCGATGGTCCTCCACCATCAACTCCGCTGGACCGGCCACGTTGTCCGGATGCCCGACCACCGTCTCCCAAAGCAGTTGCTCTACTCTGAACTCAAGAACGGAAAACGGAATGTTGGAGGACAGGAAAAGAGATTTAAAGATGGGCTCAAAGCCAACCTTAAAAACTCTGGCATAGACACTGAGAACTGGGAAGCCCTGGCCCTTGAGCGCTCCAGCTGGAGGTCAGCTGTGACCAGCAGTGCTGCAGAATTTGAAGAGCCACAAATGGAGGGTGAAAGAGAGAAACGTGCCAAGAGGAAGGTGCGTCAAGCCAACCGTGACAGAGACCACCTTCCACCTGGAAACCGATGCCCTCACTGCGAGAGAACATGCAGGTGAAGAATAGGGCTCCACAGTCACCTACGGACCCACAAGAATACTGACCCTGGAAGACTATCCTACTCGGCCAACAAGGGATCGCCTAAGTATTGTTTACCTAAGCAATTTGAAAACAGCTTTAGCTGTGATTAGAAAAATTAGGTACTGCTAAAAAAAAGTGGGGGAGGGTTTTTTTTACGACACCACAAAGAAAGAAGATCAGAGAATGCTGGGCGACCAAAAGGAAGGAGGAAGTCCTGACGGTTCTTCGTCATAGAGCAGTGGTTCTCAACCTGGGGTCCCCAGATGTTTTTAGCCTACAACTCCCAGAAATCCTAACAGCTGGTAAACTGGCTTGGGAATTCTGGGAGTTGTAGGCCCAAAACATCTGGGGACCCTAGGTTGAGAACCACTGTCATAGAGGATCGACCAACAGCACCCCCTGGACTCAAGCCCAACCTTCCATGGCACTTCCTGTTCTGTTCTGTCTGTTTGTGTATTGTCTATACAAAGCGGCATTGAATGTTTGCTGTGTATGTGTACTGTGATCTGCCCTGAGTCCCCTTCGGGGTGAGAAGGGCAGAATATAAATAAAGTGATTATCATCATCATCATCATCATCATCATCATCATCATCATCATCATCGGTAGACCTCAACTATGAGAGACAACACATCCAGAAAATCACATTGTCTGATTTTTAACTAATTTATTTGCAAATTATGGTGGAAAATAAGTACTTGGTTACCTATAAACAAGCAAGATTTCTGGGTCTCACACAGGCTCCTCTGTCCTCCATTCATTACCTGTAGTAATGGCACCTATTTGAACTTGTTATCAGTATCAAAGACACCTGTCCACAACTCCACTATTGATATCGAGCAAGAATTTAGGGGTCTTTGCCAGGAGGCAGAGATTGGTCAGATCCACCGAAGAGAGTCCGTTCGCCCTGGCAAGACAGAAAGAAGCACCCAAAGAATTTCCCCTGATTTTTCCCAATAAAAGTCTCACCAAGTTGAAGAAAAGCCACCGAGTTGTCTTTATTTCGTCCCAGCTGGTACGGATGTCAACCTGCAATCCCTTGCGAAACCTGATATGCTTGGCAGGGCAAACAGTACATATTTATAGAGATACAGAACTGTCAAATTCAAACTCCCCACCCCTGCCCCCCCCCCTTGCCAGCTTAACGCTGATTGGTTGGAGTCATCAGCTTGAGGGGAGGCGCAGCCGGCTTAGGCGCGCCTTAGCTAATGGGAAAGCCAGCGCCGCTTCGGCTTCTCAACCAATGAGGAGCGAGGAGGCGGCACAAGCGGGAAACAATTAACCGGGAGGAAAATGAGTGGATTAATGTAACTTAATGTTTTGTCCGATTGCCGGTGATAATCCGAAGATTCCTCAAGCTAGCCTTGTACTGTTCCATGGGGGTGAAATATACAAAAGTGGCTGGTGCGGATGCCAAGCCCCGGTAATCTCTAGTCCTGGGTATGGGATCAATTGATGTTATCTGGTCTTTGGTTTCGGCCAAGGGTATTAAGACAATGGGTGAGTCAGTTGGGGCACCCAGATCCTCCTGAAGGCAGTATGTCCACTTTGTTGAAGGGTGATTGAATCTCCATGGGGTACTTCCTTCAGGTGGCCATGCTCCGAGGCCTGAGGATGTACCATTGTTTCTGTCCATGCAATAAGTCTTTGTTGAGTCCTTTTTAATTAAAGGAAGAATCCATCTCAGGAAATGAAAAAGGTTTTCCTAAGACTTTGGTATGCTGGGGTCACGAAAAGGTGGTATTCCATATTTTATATAGGCACAGATATGGGGTTCATAAAGCATACATTCATAGAGAGGGAAAAGAATTCATATCAACCCATCCCACCCACCAAGAGTTCATTAAAAGTCTAAAATCATATTGGAAATCCATGAAGTTTTGGGGAAGAAAAAATTTCTAAAAGGTTTCCAAAAGTTCTAAAAGTTGATCAAAGTTCAAGAAAAGTTGCAGAATCCACAGGGACAAACTGGGGAAGGTTCCCCAGTGTCCATCGGGTCCTTTGGAAACGATTGCCAGTGTTGGAGGTCAAGATCCATGTGGGGAAATGAAGAAAACTACAGATCCCATCTCGTCAAAGACCAAAATGGCCTGTCGGTTTCCCGGGGGTTCCAAGGGGTGACAGTGGCAGGTTCCCCTGGTCAACAGGCTCTTCAGGCATCGACGAAATGGCGGCAGCAATGTTCTGCCAGCGGGGAGCCAGCTGGACTCCATACTGAGATTTTGGGGTGCAAAAAGGGTTATTCCCGGGGCAGAGAGGTTAGCGGAGCAAAAGTGAAATAGCCATTAGTCTTAGAATTAGCCTAGGAGAAGACTGGTACCGATTTTGGAGCAATCAATTGACCCACGGATATGGGGGCCCAATGGGTTTCCATATCCGCAGTTCAGAGGAACACAGTTTCGGCCTCCCTGGGACGTGAGAATCGCATCCCGGGCGGGCTGGTAGCTGTCTGCAGCCCAGGAAAAAGAAAGTTCATGCAGAGAACAGTTTGGAGGCAGTAAAGGACACAAAGTAACACTATTGTTGTTGTTCACTCGTTCAGTCATCTCCAACTCTTTGTGACCTCATGGACCAGCCCACGCCAGAGCTCCCTGTTGGCCGTCACCACCCCCAGCTCCTTCAAGGTCAGTCCAGTCACTTCAAGGATGCCATCCATCCATCTTGCCCTTGGTCGGCCCCTCTTCCTTTTACCTTCCACTTTCCCCAGCATAATTGTCTTCTCTAGGCTTTGCTGTCTCCTCATGATGTGGCTAAAGTACTTCAAAAGTAACACTATAGAGAGGAAAAATTTACAATTAATTGATACTTTATGGGGGGGGGTTGTTACAATGTTAGGAAGGGGGAAGAAAGTAAAGCAGAAAGGGAGTCTTCGGTTGAAGCTGCTGCTGTAGCCACATTCCCATGGATGCTGGCCCAAGCGGGCAATGGAGAACTGTGGAACTCCCTGCTGCAGGTCAGATCAGCTTGAAGGCAGGGAGTTCTGGGTTGTTCCTTCTCACTATGGTGAAGGCCAAAGTGCTGTCGAAGGACACCAGAAACAAAATTGTCACCCTGCACTAGACTGCGAAGACTGAATCTGCAATAGGCAAGCAGCTTGGGGTGAAGAAATAGACTATGGGAGCAATAATTAGAAAATGGAAGAGATACAAGACCACTGATAATCTCCCTCGATCTGGGGCTCCATGCAAGATCTCACCCCGTGGGGTCAAAATTATCACAAGAACGGTGAGCAAAAATCCCAGAACCACACGGGGGAACTTAATGAATGACCTGCAGAGAGCTGGGACCAACGTCACAAAGGCTACCATCACTAACACACTACGCTGCCAGGGACTCAGATCCTGCAGTGCCAGAGGTGTCCCCCTGCTTAAGCCAGTACATGTCCAGGGCCAACTGCAGTTTGCTAGAGAGCATTTGGATGATCCAGAAGAGCATTGGGAGAATGTCATATGGTCAGATGAAACCAAAGTGGAACTGTTTGGCAGAAACACAACTCGTTGTGTTCGGAGGAGAAAGAATACTGAGTTGCATCCAAAGAACACCATACCTACTGTGAAGCATGCGGGTGGCAACATCATGCTTTGGGGCTGTTTCTCTGCAAAGGGACCAGGGCGACTGATCCGTATACATGAAAGAATGAATGGGGCCATGTATTGTGAGATTTTGAGTGCAAACTTCCTTCCATCAGCAAGGGCACTGAAAATGACACGAGGCTGGGTCTTTCAGCATGGCAATGATCCCAAGCACACCACCAGGGCAATGAAGGAGTGGCTTCGTAAGAAGCTTTTCAAGGTCCTGGAGCCAGTCTCCAGATCTCAACCCTATAGAAAACCTTTGGAAGGGGTTGAAAGTCCGTGTTGCCGAGCAACAGCCCCAAAACATCATTGCTCTTGAGGAGATCTGCATGGAGGAATGGGTCAGCCATACCAGCAACAGTGTGTGCCAACCCTGTGAGGACTTACAGAAAACGTTTGACCTCTAGATATATAACAAAGTATTGAGATGAACTTTTGTTATGGACCAAATACTTATTTTCCACCATAATTTGCAAATAAATTCGTTAAAATTGGACAATGTGATTTTCTGGATGTATGTTTCTCATAGTTGAGGCCTCTCACATCTTTTGAAATGGGAGAACTTGTACAATTGGTATCTGACTAAATGCTTCCCCCCTCCCCCACTGTATATAAACCCCACTTGCCTCGTTTCCAACAGAACTCACCACCTCTGAGGATGTAGCGAAACGTCAGGAGGCAATGCTTCTGGTACATGGCCATACAGCCCGGAAAACTCACAACAACCCAATATTGTTTATTCTTTAATCGTAATATTGGTGCAATATTATCACCATCATCACCAATTACTTAGGCAATCCCTCGTAGCTGGAGGATGATTGTCTTCCAGATGTGGTAGCTTGGTGGTGAGTCCGTAGGTAGCTGTGGAGCCCTATTCTTCATCCGCATGTTCTCCTGCAGTGAGGGCATCGGTTTCCAGACAGAAGGTGGTCCCAGTCAGGGTTGGCTTGACATGCCTTCCTCTTGGCACATTTCTCCCTTTCACCCTCCATTCGTGCCTCTTCGAATTCTGCAGCACTGCTGGTCACAGCTGACTTCCAGTTATAGCACTGAAGGGCCAGGGCTGTGACCAGCAGTGCTGCAGTTTTGGATGTTGGCTTTAACCCATCTTTAAATCACATTTCCTGTCCACCAACATTCTGTTTTCTGTTCTTGAGTTCGGAGTAGAGTAACTGCTTTGGGAGACAGTGATCAGGCATTCAGACAACGTGGCATTCGGTCCAGCGGAGTTGATGGCGTAGGATCATTGCTTCAATTCTGGTGGTCTTTGCTTCTTGCAGCACGCTGACATTTGTCCGTTGTCTTCCCAAGACCTTTGCATGATTTCTCAGAGGCAACGCTGGTGGAATCGTTCCAGGAGTTGCGTCTGTAGACAGTCCACGTTTAGCAGGGTCAGGAGGACAATAGCTTTATAAACAAGCACCTTGGTCTACCTACGGATGTCCCGATCCTTAAAACACTCTCTGCTTCATTTGGAAGAATGCTGCACTCGCAGATCTCAGGCGATGTATTTCAGTGTCAATGTTGACCTTTGTAGAGAGGTGGCTGCCAGAGAGCACTGTGAACCCAAAAACTGAAAGTTCTGGACCAAACTTGGCACACATACCTGGTATGCTGAAATTTGATTACTGGAAGGGTTTGAGGAGAATGGACCTTCCTTTCTGGAAGGTCCAGAGAAATGGTGACCTCCACCGATGATGGACCTGGATCAAACTTGGCACACAGAACCCCCATGACTAACTCAACCTACTGGAGGGGTTTGAGAGAACTTTATCCTACAGCCAGAGAGCACACTGAACCCCACCAATGATGCATCTAGAGCAAACTTGTCCAACATAAACTTTAATTAGTGATGGAGTTTCTCGAAGTTAACCTGGCATGTTGTGAGTTGTAGTTCACCCACAACCTTGTGCATTTTGTACAATTCAAAAATTGACTTTTTCAAATAACCGGGGCAACGCCAGGTACTCAAGCTAGTAATCTATATAAATAAAAATGTAATGTTCGTTTGTGGGATTAACAGAACTCAAAAACCACTGGGCGAATTGACACCAAATTTGGACACAAGACACCTAACAACCCAATGTATGTCCTTCACTAAAAAAAAAAAAAAAGATTTTGTCTTTGGGAGTTGTAGTTGCTGGGATTTATAGTTCACCTACAATCAAAGAGCATTCTGAACCCCACCAACGATGGAATTGGGCCAAACTTGGCACACAGTTCTCCCATGACCAACACAAAATACTGTCCTTTGGTTTTGGAGTTGTAGTTCACCTACATCCAGAGATCACTCTGGACTCAAACAATGATGGATCTGGACCAAACTCTACACGAATACTTAATATGCCCAAATGTGAACACTGGTGGAGTTTGGGGAAAATAGAATCTTGACATTTGGGAGTTGTAGTTGCTGGGATTTATAGTTCACCTACAATCACAGAGCATTCTGAACCCCACCTACGATAGAATTGGGCCAAACCTCCCACACAGAACCCCCATGTGGGCCACAGCAATGCGTGGCAAGGGACGGTTAGTCTATATAAATAGAAATGTAATGTTCGTTTGTGGGATGAACATAATTTAAAAACCACTGGACGAATTGACATGAAATTTGGGCACAATACACCTATCAGGACAACAAGTGACCATCACTCATAAAACACTGAAAAACACAGCAGAAGGGACTTAAAAAACCAAAAAAGCCAAAAAGACACTGCAGTGCGCGCACAAAACAACTCCCTTTGGCAAATAAAACATACAATAGCATATCCATACTCTCTTCCGGACTACAGCTCCCACCATCCCCTAGACCAGGCCCTTTAGGAGAGGAGGAGGATCCAAATGCACTGCTTCCAAACTGCAAGCTTCCTTCTCCTTGGATTTCTTTGAGAGCATCCCAATCCCTGCATATTTCCAATTTCCTATTCCTGGACTGCAACTCCCAGCAATCCTCCAGATAGAAAAGATAGATTAGAAAGAGGTAGATAGGTACCTATTCCGGCATATAAGACGACTGGGCGTATAAGACGACCCCCAAGTTTTCCAGTTAAAATATAGAGTTAAGACGACTCCCATGCATAAGACTACACCCGCGTATAAGACGACCCCTGACTTTTGAGAAGATTTTCTTGGGTTAAAAAGTAGTCTTATACGCCAGAATATACTGTAGGTTAGATAGATTGATCAGGAGAACTGCTGAGAGTTGCAGTTGCAGAATAGGTAGAGAAGGAAGAAAGGGGAGAAAGAGGAAGGGAAAGAAAAGAGGGGGAGGAAGGAAGGAGAGAATGAAAGAAAAGAGGGAAGGAAAGGAGAGAAAGAAAGGAGGAGAGAAAGAGGGAGGGAAGGTTGGCCACAGCAACGAGTGGCGGGCACAGCTAGTAATAGAATATAATAAGACTTTATTTATATACCATCCTATCTCCCTGAAGGGACTCAGGGTGGTGAACAACAAAATCAGGAAACATTCAATGCCGTACAACAAACATAAGTAAATACCTATCCCAACCAAATCCCAAAACAAATACACATTTATACCAAAAGTAAGAATCATTCAAACAGATGATAGCATATAAAATGTGCAATTGTGGCCAAAGTGGTGTCAAACTGCATCCATTCTGCAGCGTAGGCACACCCTTAGAATTGCAAGATCGTCTCTCTGAAAACGTACCTATATATAATCCAAGATATAGATACCAAAAAAGATACCAAGCTAGTTCAGGTTGCAGAACATTCATTTTTTTTTATTAAATTCAATTTGAACAGATTTAAAACATTTTGTATATAGGGTCAAGGAATCAAAGATGATATAACAGGAGCCAAAGAGGCTTTGAACAGGAGCCAAAGAGGCTTTGCTGGAGGCTTTGAGGGGTAGATTTCTGCAGACAGGCTCTGAGCATTTTGCATTTGATTGAGGAATCACACCTCCCAGCTTCCTTGAATGGTTACAATGATTTAAAAACAATTAAAGATAAGCCTGAAATAAATGCAACTGGGGTCCTTCTTCCTCAGGTCTCAGGGGCTATCTTCCGTAGGTGCCTGTTTGCCCTGCAGCTCCTGCGCTCTCCACTGTTTCCAAATTTTCTCCTCAAATATGCGCCTTTCCCTGGAAGACAAAAGTGAGAGACGCCATTGTTAAAGACACCTCAAACAAACATCTCAGGTTGGACTGAGGAAACAATCTTCTCTCTTCATAAAAGGACTAGATTGGGTACCCAGCGTTTCCAGAGTTATTTGAAAAAGTCAATTTTTCAAGTTTGCTCTAGATGCATCATTGGTGGGGTTCAGTGTACTCTCTGGCGGTAGGGTAAACTACAGCTCCCACTATCAGTCCCACTATGGTGAATCAGTAGGTTGAGTTAGTCATGTGGGCTCTGTGTGCCAAGTTTGGTCCAATTCCATCTTTGGTGCAGGTGAACTATAAATCCCAGTCCCTACAAATCCAAAATATCCAGGTCAATTCCTCCCAAAACCCGCCTAATATTCAAATGAGGGCATATCGGGTATGCATGCCAAGTTTGGCCCAGATCCATCATTGTTTGGGTTCTTAATGCACTCTGGTGAACTACAACTCCTATCAATCCCTCTGAAGACCTAGAGCATGTTTTGCTGGTCATGGGGCTCCTGTGTGCCAAATTAGTTCCAGGTCCATCATTGGTGGAGTTCATGCTCTTAGACTGCAGGTGAACTATACAACCCAGGACCTATAAGTCCTGTAAATCATGGTGAGTTCTCTCCAAACCTCTCTAGTATGTTCCATTGCCGATTAATTCCTCTGTTTGCTGTGTGCCATAGAAAAGAATAGGAAAGGCTTAAAGGAGAGGCAGTGGGCGGGGTCATGCAAAATCCACACCAATGGAGAGAGTCAGAAACACTGGGATGTCTGTGGTGGAGGAAACATATAAAATGTAGGATGAAGTCCCTGTGTCAAAGCCTTCACTTGGGTGGTGGGCAGTGTGGTGTTTGCGGAGGACATGCTTATGGCGCTCATTGGAGGAAGGGCTTTTGGTGTCTCCTGAGCAGTGGGAGCTATAGCTGTTCATGGAGGCAGGCGCTTGTCTACGTGAACAACCAGCCACACACGCACATACATATTTTCACTTTTATTATGTGTAGGAAAGGTTTAAGGGAGAGGCAGTGGGCGGGGCCATGCAAATTCCATACCAATTGAGAGAGTCAGAAACACTGGGATGTCTGTGGTAGAGGAAACACGTAACATCTAGGATGAAATTGTCCGCATATGAAAGCCTTCACTTGGGTGGTGGGCAGTATGGAGTTTATGGAGGACATTGGAAGGGCTCTTGGACATGTTCATGGCACTCACTCTAACCTGCAATGTGACTGGAGGGAGGGCCATTGGTGCCTCCTGAGGAGTTGGAGTTATAGCTATTTGTGGAAGTGGGAGCTCGTCTGTGTAAGTGGACACCCCGGGCACAAACACATATACATGTTTTCACTTTTATTATGTGCATAGATGTATGCATATAGGTTGGTTGGTTTGAACCACAAAGGCGGCTCCATGGCTGGATGGATCGGGACCCAACATGGCATATATAGCCTCCCTGACCCACATTAAAAGGACAGAAGGATTTGAACTACAGAGCCCACCCTATTCAGATCCAGATAAAAGAAAACAGAAAGGAACAAAGCGGATTGGCTGGTAATGCGTGAAGGATCAGGTGTTGCTGGGTAAATTATCTTCTGTGATGTCATCAGGAAAGAACGGGATTGAATTGGCGCTGCTAAGAAACATGTACATGAAGGCAGGGGGAACAGAGAAAGAGAGAAGGGAAAGGAAAGGAAAGGGGGAAAGGTACCGTATATACTCGAGTATAAGCTGACTCGACTTCCCACAAAAAACTGGGAAAAAGTATTGACTTGAGTATTAGTCAAGGGTGGGAAATGCAGCAACTACTGGTACATCTTCTTCTATATCTATATATATAAAAATGCTCTGTGCATAATGAGTACCTTAAAAACAAAAGAACCAACGGATGAAATCACACCAAATTTGGCAACAAAACGTCTCACAACACAAGGAGTGACCATCACTCAAAAAATATGATTTTGTCATTTGGGAGTTGTAGTTGCTGGGATTTATAGTTCACCTACAATCAAAGAGCATTCTGAACTCCACCAATGATGGAATTGAACCAAACTTGGCACACAGAACTCCCATGAGCAACAGAAAATACTGAAAGGGTTTGGTGGCATTGACTTTGAGTTTGGGAGTTGTAGTTCAACTACATCCAGAGAGCACTGTGGACTCAAACAATGATGGATCTGGAACAACTTGGCACAAATACTCAATATGCCCAACTGTGAATACTGGTGGAGTTTGGAGAAATTAGG